CTATCGTAAAGTTGTAAGAAGTTTGCTGAAAAAACAGTTGTGCACGATCGAAATACTTTCTGTCCTCTGATTCATAGTTTGTACTTTTTCAGCAAGTATAAAAGGCCTTTTAGTAATTCTAAAAACGTCCCCTTCGTTGTCGTTCTGATTTGGTTGTGAAATCTTTAATGATTTTAGATAAAGTAAACATAAGAATAACTTTTATATCGTTGGTAATATTTCAAGATGAACATGTACTGGACTGAAGCAACTGAAAAAATGATATTAAAATGCAAGTAGCTTATTAAATATGATACATCAGGAGGAACTTTTATACGTTGTTCATCATTGTAACCAAGCGATTAAATATAATCTTAAGACATATTATTGGAAAATATATAGTGATGTATGCCTTTTATACTTGCCTGTTATGCCGTTATAGAAATCTCACTGATTCAGCGTACTTTTTGGCAATGTAAATATTAGCAACTACATCAAATTGCATTCATGACAACAATGATCTACTCAACTGCTAATAAATTCCCACCCTAAACGTTTTCTTGTCTCGAGACGCTGTTTTACTCGGAAATATACGTCGCAATAGGGAATTTATGATTCCGCGGGTTTTTGGTGTGAGATGCATTGCATTCTTTCAGATTTCATCCAAAAAGATCTTCATTTGGAAATGAATGAAAGTTGAGAACGACTTTATGGCATTTAAATCAAATTTATGGGCGAACTAACGTTACCATTTAAGGCCTTAGTGTAATATAAGAAGAAAAAAAAAAACTAAATGCAAAAAAACATAGTTCAAAACCATTAAACATTTAGTGTTAATAGAGAACTATCCTTGAAACTTTTTTTTTTTTTATTACACTCTAAAAAAGCTGGGTTGTTTAAACCCAAATTTGGGTAAAACAAACCCAGATGTTGGGTTAAATGGGCTCTATGCACGGTGGTATTTCCGGTGAAGGTGTAAGGATGCTCAATAACTTCCGCCGATCGTAGAGTCCAATGTTATAATTATAAATGAATGTGCTACTGGAATACATTAACTGGCACATTTGGTATTCTGTCAACACAGGCTTTGGTCCTGAGTTTAGGTGTAACATCAGTAGCGAACAGCTGATCACATGCTGAGAGAGTTTAGAGAATATGAAGAATCTAAACAAATGTACACAGGAAGAATCGGCGTCTTTTGGGAGGTGATTGAAACTACAGTCGTTGGCAGGATCAGAGACGGGCTCTGGCAGGATCACTCTGATATCATTTCCAGCTTATGTTCAAAACAATCACGTTTAAGCCACTGAATTAGTTTAGTCCGGTTATACATACAACAGCGAACAGCACATATTGTCCCTGAGCTCCGTAACGACATCTCTCATAAAGATTTGCGTCTTTAAATAGTAAAATAATTATCCGAAAAACAGCTAGCCTCTTCGCTAACTAACACACAAAATACCATTGGAATGCTACTTCCGCCGCCTCACCGGAAGTTTCACCCACTTTATTTTTTACAGGATCGCCCCTCGGAAACTTGTGGATAGCCTATAGACCTTATTCAGAGCAGCGTCATGACAGGTATGAAAGTGAGGCTGTGAGGGATAGACTTACCGTGTTTCCAATGGCATCCGCTGTAAAAAGCTGAATAAAGCTCCTAGATTACTTACAATTTTCCACAACTTACATTGTCGGGAGTTTTTTGTCAATTGTAATTTCTTGGAAAGATATTTTTCCAGTGTTTCATGAGCATAACAATCCGAAAACACATTAAATAACAGTACAGCCGATTGAAGAGATGCAAGTCTATCCCTCACAGTCTCGCTTTCATTCTCATTAAAATCAAAGATGGCGCTGCCGTGAATAAGGCGTATACCCGTATTTACTTTGTTTTCGGTTGAAGTCCACAGTAGTCGATTGTCGAATTTGCGCGTTATTGCTTAGATACAGATGATCGTGCGCGCAAACTCGACAATCGACTACTGTGGACTTCGACCGAAAACAGGAAGTAAATACGGGTATGTGAGCTGGCTGATTTAACATCATTTTTATTAATATCTTTCACATCTACTGCAGTCAGATTGACCGTGGTCACTCTTAATAACACGAATCACATGGCTGTGCACTCGTAATGACAAATCAAGGATATTAATAGGCTAAAAGCAGGTTTAGAACATGCCCCATTGAAGTCAACAGGGTGCGAATTTTAAAAAGCTGTGTAGGCAACACCGATTTTAGTCGTTTTTGTCTGTACTGACAGCACTCCAAATGTACAAAAAAATGAGTTCAGTGTTAAAATTGATCGGAGTTCTCATTTAACCCAATGGCTGAGTTTGTCCATATTTTACCCAAAGATGGGTTAAAACCCAGCATTTTTTTAGAGTGATTAAAAGTGTATTGCTGCAAGTTGAACTTTTAACATCTTTTGGATGATCCACAACTGGAGAAATATCATCATTCCACACGAGGATACGACTGTGAGTGTGAACGTGTTCCTTCCCCAAAACAAACCTTACCTTTTCAGATGTGTGTCAGAGTGAATGGTAAAATGATGAGCTCTAATGAGCAGACTGAGGAAAGGGTGAGCAGAGGCTTTATCCAGCGTTCAGTGTTGACAGCACCGCTAATCCTCGCCACCTGCTCAAACACACACAGGGCTCCATAAACAACAGCAGCGTCCGCGTTGCGTTCACACACTCGCCCTGAGTCAGCCGTTCCCGCGGGAACCGTCTCTCAGCGGTTATCGTGCCCCTCCGCTTCCTGCGCTACGAGCAAAGCGTTAATCGCCATGCAAAACAAATAGTTCTCAAATGTTTGGAAAAGGCCACGCTGTTTGCACCAGGGCCTAACAAAATAATTTTTACAAGCTATCCAGTCGTGATTAGGGCTGAGAGAATTGAATTTCCCTGGCAGTGATCATATTCATATTAGCCTAATTAATAGTGCTGTTTAACTTTGCCTGTTTACCATTGTAGGAACGGCACACTGTGGTGGAAACAGACGCTCAGTTCAGCTCTGAAGCGTTTCTATCTCTCTCGGCCTTCCCTGGCCGTGACGACCGCACACATCTTAAACACTGCTGGGTGGTTAAGCTTTGCAGTTTTCTCCCATTTTGTCTTTTAAGTCGCGCGAATAATTTTCCTCCTTTGGGAAGATATTACCCTAAACCTTCATGGTTAAGAATACACGATGAGTCCTTGAGAAGAGTCTATTTTTTTTCAAAGACCTATTGAGTCTGTTTGAAGTACATTTAAATACATAAAACTCATTAACTTTATGATTATTGGCTACACTTAGTGCAAAAACAGGGTTTCACACTTCACAGTGATGCTGCTATATATGTTATTATTATTGTTAGTTCACCCAAAATGAAAATTACTCCATCATTTGCTCACCCTCAAGCTATTCTAGGTGTATATGACTTTCTTCTTTCAGCAAAACACAGTCAGGGTTATATAAAAAAATATCCTGGCACTTCCATGCTTGGGAGTGAGTGAATGGTACCTTTTTTTAAAGCCTAAAAAGCGCATCCATCCAACATAAAAGTAATCCATACGGCTCCAGGGGGTTAATAAATACCTTCTGAAACGAAGTGATACGTTTTTGTAAGAAAAATATGCATATTTATACCTTTATAACTCCAAAATGCGTCGGGTCAGAGGTCACTCTTCCGCCGGAACTCGACTCGAGTTTATTTTATGGTTTATAAAGTTAGAAACTTCTATATTATGGAGTCTTATAAACTCCATAACTTCTATATGGATATAGAAGGCCTTTATTAACCCCCTGGAGCCGTATGGATTACTTTTATGATGGTTCTCTAAGGTACCATTCACTCCTATTATAAAGCTGGGGAGAGCCTGGATATTTTTGAAATTTTACCAAATGTGTTTGGCTAAAAGAATTAGTCATTTACCTGTTTGCTTGAGGGTGAGTAAATTGTGAAAATTTTTGGGTGAACTAATGTGAGAACATTTTAATTATCTAAAGAACCCCTTTTCAAGATAAAGAACCCTTTGAGCAATATAAACGTTCCATTCACGGAACCATCAAATGCCAATAAAGAACCTTTACTTTCAAGAGCGCACGTTTTTCGGTAACGCTTCCTTTTACTGTCCAGTTACCCATGTAAAGACTATGTAATTATTTTAGTAACTACAATTTCTAGGTAATAACTAGTACTAACCCTGAACCTACCCCTGTTCCATGTACTTACCTTATATTAGCCACTACTTTCTAGGTAAGTACACTGTAAGTACTGTACTGTAAAAGTAAGCGTTACCCCTTTTTCTCTTGACACTACACCAAATAAAGGTTCTAACGACATTCAGGGAACCTTTCCACTCCCTATCTTCCAAAAGATTCTTTATAGTGGAAAAAAAGTTCTTTAGATTATTAAAATGTTCTTCACACTTGGTTCTTTTAAGAACTGTTCACTGAAAGGTTCTTTGGGGAACCCAAAATGTGTCTTGAATGGCATCGCAATGAAAACCCCTTTTTTTGAACCTTTATTTCTAAGAGAGAAAGGTAGGTGACTAGAGTGGAACAAAAATATGAGGAATTCGAAAATGAAATTCATTTCATTATATCTGTGTATATACTGCGATGTAAATATTGTTTTTAAAATTCACGTTTCTAAATTACTGCACATATAAAATACAGAGGAAAAATATTTCTATTAAAAGTCTAAGTGATTAACAATTACGGCAATATTCCCAGTCAAGTTAAGGAGAGAAAAATCAAGAAACACCAGTAAAATTTCATAATAAACAGCCAATTTTTCATTTTAGAAATGAATGCATAGCACCTGGGACACTGCAAAATGGCAAATTCTGCTTAAACCAAAGTAGTGAAATCATTTAAAATTCACCCTTGCGTGCTTGATTTTTTTTTCTCAACCTGTAACATTTTCAGTTTAGAAATAGTTTGGATCATATCTTATGAAATAACTAAACAGTTGATCAGGACAGAAATATGTAGGCTACAACATATTAGTAATGATGACCCATGGGCTTCGAGGCCACCCTCAATGAAACTCGTCTTTTTATTTATGGAAATAACTGATAATAATGAGCAGCTTGTACAGATCAATCAGCTCATATGTACTGTAGCATCATTTTGACATTAATTCATGTTTGAAATCAGTACAGTATAACAGAATCATCTATTCCTTTCTACCACTCGCACACCTAGAGGTCAGAGATCATGTCCTCTGCCTCTTCAACAGAGGTTAAGGGTTAGTTCAACTAGTCATATGACTGCATTCAACACACCCATCAGATGAAAGTCTCTTGGATTAATAGTTTGTGACCATACAATGTCAGAATACAAAAAGCAAAGAAAGAATCAGAGCAAAATCCCAACACCATGTGACCTCAGCCCTTTGAAACCTCATACAACTCTCAAAGCTGTTTTGTGCTGTGCGCCAATCATTTCTTCGTTAATTATGTGAATGCTATATGAGAGTATGCAAATATTACTTTGTTTTTAGTGAGCAGCGGGGTTGTTAGCACAGATGCAATCTCAGAAACATTGTATTTCATGTATGAGGTTATTATTTTAGCATTGAGCACACTGGGAAAGGTCAGCTTTGGAAGTTTGCATGTAAATCAGACGCCATTCTAATGTAATTTTATCGACAGGATTCAGCATTAAACAGCTCTAAATGAATCTTAAAACTAAACGAGTTCATGTACTCGTGTTTAAAACAACTGTATTTGTAAGAGTATGAATGAAATGAACATTAGTATAACAGCTGCATTGTTCAGCTCAAAACAGTAACTGTCATCTCTGTGTGCACAAGAGCCTGAGTGAAATGAGCTGGACAAACTCATTGATCCAGAGCAGCGTGCTGGACCGCCTCTTTCGTCCCAGAAGAGGATGGATTTGGCACAATCAAAATAAAAGCAAATAAAAATTTGAGTCTCTTGACCACCCAAGTCCATTCGAGTGGTCCACCTCAGTTCATCTACCATCATCCTCTCTCCATTAGAAGCCGGAAACACAAGGAAAACGTACAAAACGTCCATCTACTCTGAAATTTTTAAAAATCACAAACAAAATATGAGCAAATCTGAGATGAAACGCTATGCTCGCATTAAAACGTGCATGTGGAACAAAAACGGGTTAACTTAAAAAGGAGCAACCTGGGACGTGTTACTCTTTTGTTCTTGAAACACAGTTTAATTTCCACACTGAATCATTGACAAAGACACTCTAGGTCGGACACTTGTGTTTCTGGCAGTGCGGTGATGGGACGGCCCTGTCCGTCATTAGCTGAAATGCCGGCCCAGTCGGGCGGAGCGATAGTCTACTCTCAGCTGAACGAAAGCGTGGAGGAGGTTCCTGTCGAGGTTGGTCAGCTGCTCTCCAGAGCACACCTGTTTGAGGTTGTCCGGGGCGACGACCAGGAGGTTACACAGAGCATGAAGCGTGTCAAACAGCTGGAGCACGAGAGGGACCTGTGGAGGGTGTAGATGCATAGAATTAAAAACTGTTCAATCTATCTTAAAGGGTTAGTTCACCCAAAAATGAAAATTCTGTCAGGATTTACTCACCCTCATGTTGTTCCAACCCCGTAAGACTGTTCATTTTCGGAACACGAATTAAGATATTTTAGGTTCATTCTCGTGTTACGCATCACGTTTGAGCTACAGCAAGAGCCAATGAGGTTCATTCTCGTGTTACGCAGCACGTTTGAGCTTCAGCAAGAGCCAATGAGGTTCATTCTCATGTTACGCAGCACGTTTCAGCTTCCTCAAGAGCCAATGAGGTTCATTCTCATGTTACGCAGCACGTTTGAGCTTCAGCAAGAACCAATGAGGTTCATTCTCGTGTTACGCAGCACGTTTGAGCTTCAGCAAGAGCCAATGAGGTTCATTCTCATGTTACGCAGCACGTTTCAGCTTCGGCAAGAACCAATGAGGTTCATTCTCATGTTACGCATCACGTTTGAGCTACAGCAAGAGCCAATGAGGTTCATTCTCGTGTTACGCAGCACGTTTGAGCTTCAGCAAGAACCAATGAGGTTCATTCTCATGTTACGCATCACGTTTGAGCTACAGCAAGAGCCAATGAGGTTCATTCTCGTGTTACGCAGCACGTTTGAGCTTCAGCAAGAGCCAATGAGGTTCATTCTCATGTTACGCAGCACGTTTCAGCTTCGGCAAGAGCCAATGAGGTTCATTCTCATGTTACGCATCACGTTTGAGCTACAGCAAGAGCCAATGAGGTTCATTCTTGTGTTGCGCAGCACGTTTGAGCTTCAGCAAGAGCCAATGAGGTTCATTCTCATGTTACGCAGCACGTTTCAGCTTCGGCAAGAGCCAATGAGGTTCATTCTCATGTTACGCAGCACGTTTGAGCTTCAGCAAGAACCAATGAGGTTCATTCTCATGTTACGCAGCACGTTTGAGCTTCCTCAAGAGCCAATGAGGTTCATTCTCGTGTTACACATCACGTTTGAGCTTCAGAAAGAACCAATGAGGTTCATTCTCATGTTACGCAGCACGTTTGAGCTTCGGCAAGAGCCAATGAGGTTCATTCTCATGTTACGCAGCACGTTTGAGCTTCAGCAAGAACCAATGAGGTTCATTCTCATGTTACGCAGCACGTTTGAGCTTCCTCAAGAGCCAATGAGGTTCATTCTCATGTTACGCATCACGTTTGAGCTTCAGCAAGAGCCAATGAGGTTCATTCTCATGTTACGCAGCACGTTTCAGCTTCGGCAAGAGCCAATGAGGTTCATTCTCATGTTACGCAGCACGTTTGAGCTTCAGCAAGAACCAATGAGGTTCATTCTCATGTTACGCAGCACGTTTGAGCTTCCTCAAGAGCCAATGAGGTTCATTCTCATGTTACGCATCACGTTTGAGCTTCAGAAAGAACCAATGAGGTTCATTCTCGTGTTGCGCAGCACGTTTGAGCTTCCTCAAGAGCCAATGAGGTTCATTCACGTGTTACGCAGCACGTTTGAGCTTCAGAAAGAACCAATGAGGTTCATTCTCGTGTTGCGCATCACGTTTGAGCTACAGCAAGAGCCAATGAGGTTCATTCTCGTGTTACGCATCACGTTTGAGCTTCAGCAAGAGCCAATGAGGTTCATTCTCATGTTACGCAGCACGTTTCAGCTTCGGCAAGAGCCAATGAGGTTCATTCTCATGTTACGCAGCACGTTTGAGCTTCCTCAAGAGCCAATGAGGTTCATTCTCGTGTTGCGCATCACGTTTGAGCTTCAGCAAGAGCCAATGAGGTTCATTCTCATGTTACGCAGCACGTTTCAGCTTCGGCAAGAGCCAATGAGGTTCATTCTCATGTTACGCAGCACGTTTGAGCTTCAGCAAGAACCAATGAGGTTCATTCTCATGTTACGCAGCACGTTTGAGCTTCAGCAAGAGCCAATGAGGTTCATTCTCGTGTTACGCAGCACGTTTGAGCTTCAGAAAGAACCAATGAGGTTCATTCTCGTGTTACGGAGCACGTTTGAGCTTCAGCAAGAGCCAATGAGGTTCATTCTCGTGTTACGCATCACGTTTGAGCTTCAGAAAGAACCAATGAGGTTCATTCTCGTGTTACGGAGCACGTTTCAGCTTCGGCAAGAGCCAATGAGGTTCATTCTCATGTTACGCAGCACGTTTGAGCTACAGCAAGAGCCAATGAGGTTAATTCTTGTGTTACGCAGCACGTTTGAGCTTCCTCAAGAACCAATGAGGTTAATTCTCGTGTTGCGCAGCACGTTTGAGCTTCAGCAAGAACCAATGAGGTTCATTCTCGTGTTACGCAGCACGTTTGAGCTACAGCAAGAGCCAATGAGGTTCATTCTCGTGTTACGCAGCACGTTTGAGCTTCCTCAAGAACCAATGAGGTTAATTCTCATGTTACGCAGCACGTTTGAGCTTCAGCAAGAACCAATGAGGTTCATTCTCGTGTTACGCAGCACGTTTGAGCTACAGCAAGAGCCAATGAGGTTCATTCTCGTGTTACGCAGCACGTTTGAGCTTCAGAAAAAGCCAATGAGGTTAATTCTTGTGTTGCGCAGCACGTTTGAGCTTCAGCAAGAACCAATGAGGTTCATTCTCGTGTTGCGCAGCACGTTTGAGCTTCAGAAAAAGCCAATGAGGTTCATTCTCGTGTTACGCAGCACGTTTGAGCTTCGTCAAGAACCAATGAGGTTCATTCTCATGTTACGCAGCACGTTTGAGCTTCGTCAAGAACCAATGAGGTTAATTCTTGTGTTGCGCAGCACGTTTGAGCTTCAGCAAGAGCCAATGAGGTTCATTCTCGTGTTGCGCAGCACGTTTGAGCTTCAGAAAAAGCCAATGAGGTTCATTCTCGTGTTACGCAGCACGTTTGAGCTTCCTCAAGAACCAATGAGGTTAATTCTCGTGTTGCGCAGCACGTTTGAGCTTCAGCAAGTACCAATGAGGTTCATTCTCGTGTTACGCAGCACGTTTGAGCTACAGCAAGAGCCAATGAGGTTCATTCTCGTGTTACGCAGCACGTTTGAGCTTCCTCAAGAACCAATGAGGTTAATTCTTGTGTTACGCAGCACGTTTGAGCTTCAGCAAGAACCAATGAGGTTCATTCTCGTGTTGCGCAGCACGTTTGAGCTTCAGAAAAAGCCAATGAGGTTCATTCTCGTGTTACGCAGCACGTTTGAGCTTCCTCAAGAACCAATGAGGTTAATTCTCGTGTTGCGCAGCACGTTTGAGCTTCAGCAAGAACCAATGAGGTTCATTCTCGTGTTACGCAGCACGTTTGAGCTACAGCAAGAGCCAATGAGGTTCATTCTCGTGTTACGCAGCACGTTTGAGCTTCAGAAAAAGCCAATGAGGTTAATTCTTGTGTTGCGCAGCACGTTTGAGCTTCAGCAAGAACCAATGAGGTTCATTCTCGTGTTGCGCAGCACGTTTGAGCTTCAGAAAAAGCCAATGAGGTTCATTCTCGTGTTACGCAGCACGTTTGAGCTTCGTCAAGAACCAATGAGGTTAATTCTTGTGTTGCGCAGCACGTTTGAGCTTCAGCAAGAACCAATGAGGTTCATTCTCGTGTTGCGCAGCACGTTTGAGCTTCAGAAAAAGCCAATGAGGTTCATTCTTGTGTTACGCAGCACGTTTGAGCTTCAGAAAGAACCCATGAGGTTCATTCACGTGTTACGCAGCACGTTTGAGCTTCGTCAAGAACCAATGAGGTTAATTCTCGTGTTGCGCAGCACGTTTGAGCTTCAGCAAGAACCAATGAGGTTAATTCTTGTGTTACGCAGCACGTTTGAGCTTCAGAAAAAGCCAATGAGGTTAATTCTCGTGTTGCGCAGCACGTTTGAGCTTCAGCAAGAACCAATGAGGTTCATTCTCGTGTTACGCAGCACGTTTGAGCTACAGCAAGAGCCAATGAGGTTCATTCTCGTGTTACGCAGCACGTTTGAGCTTCAGAAAAAGCCAATGAGGTTCATTCACGTGTTACGCATCACGTTTGAGCTTCAGAAAGAACCAATGAGGTTAATTCTCATGTTGCGCAGCACGTTTGAGCTTCAGCAAGAACCAATGAGGTTCATTCTCGTGTTACGCAGCACGTTTGAGCTTCGTCAAGAACCAATGAGGTTAATTCTTGTGTTGCGCAGCACGTTTGAGCTTCAGCAAGAACCAATGAGGTTCATTCTCGTGTTGCGCAGCACGTTTGAGCTTCAGAAAAAGCCAATGAGGTTCATTCTCGTGTTACGCAGCACGTTTGAGCTTCGTCAAGAACCAATGAGGTTAATTCTTGTGTTGCGCAGCACGTTTGAGCTTCAGCAAGAACCAATGAGGTTCATTCTCGTGTTGCGCAGCACGTTTGAGCTTCAGAAAAAGCCAATGAGGTTCATTCTTGTGTTACGCAGCACGTTTGAGCTTCAGAAAGAACCCATGAGGTTCATTCACGTGTTACGCAGCACGTTTGAGCTTCGTCAAGAACCAATGAGGTTAATTCTCGTGTTGCGCAGCACGTTTGAGCTTCAGCAAGAACCAATGAGGTTAATTCTTGTGTTACGCAGCACGTTTGAGCTTCAGCAAGAGCCAATGAGATTCATTCTCATGCATCAAGCAGGTTCGGTTGAGCTTCGGTTTATGTTCCCTGATCAATGTTTGTGAGTAAAAGCTTAAATTCAATCTGTTCATCGTATAAAGTGGTCAAGTCTCTTTAGACAATTTGGACTAAAGCACTAAATTCATATGGATTAGTTTTACAATCTATTTATGAACTTTTTGAAGCATCAAAGTTGCGTAGTCTGTCAATGGAGGGACAGAAATCACTCAGATTTGCTTCATTTGTGTTTCAAAGATGAACGAAAGTCTTATGGGTTTGGAACGATATGAGGGGATGTAAAATGATGATGGACTTTTCATTTTTGGGTGAACTAACCCTTAAAGGCATTATAAATAAAACCTCCATAATGCCATGAGGTGGCAAAAATAAGTCCGTTGACCTCTCCTCACCCTGAACTCTTTGGCGCAGCGACGGTATTCTGCCACGTCACAGATAGCTAGCATGCCACCCATGGAGCTGTAGCTGAACTGCTGCAGGTGCTCATGGATCAGCCTGTGGAACCGCACACCCAGCTCGGTCAAAACCGTGTCCACGTTCTTACCATCCATGGACCTCCGCACACGCTCCACCTGCTTGCTCACATAGGCACACACCTTTGAGCATGCCTTGAAGAAAGAGCACAGGAAAAATGACATTAAACACAGTAGAATCGGGCAGAATATGGCTACTACTACTAAAAATCAGATTTCAAAGTGATCTTTTCACATTATTATGATTTTAAGATCTTACTGTAGTGTACTGAATCATGACATTGTTCTCGTCTTCTGGCTTGAAGTCAGTTTTCTTCTGTTCAGTCGCCAGGATTTGCTTCATCTGGCCTATCATGCAATTTAGTGTCCTAAAAACAAGAAAATATTAGAAAATGTCACAAAAATTGCATTTAATGGCAATGATGATGTCAAGGAGCTCCTTCAAACAGAGCTATGAACCGACCGATCAATCCCAGTGTCCAGCTTCACCTCCATCTGTTCGATCACCTCTTTTTTCTTGTGCAGGCACTCCGTCAACTTAGGAGAGGAGCTACAGGGGTCAGAGTTCAAACAAAGGTCACCAGTCAGCGGGCACAGAGACAAAGAGTCAGAAGCTAGGGAAGCAAAGTCAGTCAAACTCACCTAATAAGAGGCATTAGATGATCGTTAAACTGCTTATCAAAGAGGTGAAAGATTGTGTTGGCCTGCTGAACCACATCCAAAAAGTAGAGGTTGGCATTTTTGGCATCTGCAGATGGGATGGCTGTGCAAGTCGAAAGACAAATGAGAGAGTATTGTCATGTACAGCTCAAAGGTGTTTGTTTAGACTTGGAAGTTGGAACTAATGCTGCCGTTTGATTTTACCACATGAATTGCAATATCTTGGTAGGAAACGCAGCGTTTTAGAGTTTTCCAAACATTGTGGCTTGTATGCCAACACTTCAAATAAACGCTCATTGAGTCTTGACATGATTTGTGAATGCAAAGCACTACAGTTTCACTTACACATAATTCCAAATATGTTTGGCAGTTACAATTTACTACACAAAGCTAATCACACACATTACCGTTTTAATTTCAATTTCTCACAGCAATTTAGTTTAGTTTTTGTTTTGTTGGTAAGTTCATCCTTATTTTTGCTCATTTTAGTTTAGGTTTAGTTTTTGAATAAGAATTAAAACTTATTTTGAACTGGTTTGACCAATTTAAAAAAAGAACCACCCAAACAAAACAATTTTTGCATTCAATTACACATTACTGTGGTTTTCAAGAAAGTTTAACTCTATACAACAGCAATATTTATCCGATTAGATAGACAGAACATAACTACAAAATTTATATCCACAATAGACATTTTCCATGATTTTGCAGTATTTTAATAATTTCCATTACTTTAGCAGGCTTAAAAAAAAACACAACAATTTTAAAGTTCCTTGTTGGTTGGGTTTACACAAACACGTCAATAGGCTTGTGTATTATCGTCCTCTAGTGGCATGTTTATGTTACAGTAGCAGGTTTAAGGACACACCAGACTAAACAAAACTAAATATTAAATAATTATTTTGTCATTAACATTTATTTTAGTTTCAGTTTTTAAAATTTAGTCATCAGTTTAGTTTACGATAATAACCTTGATTTAAACAAACCTGTAATTACAATTTCTAAACTCATAAGAAGAATTTAAATAGCATAAACTGCAGGAGGGCAGCTACGCAGGAGTAGGAATGAGTAACACTGTACAATGGAGGTCATATAATACAAGTATGTCAACTGTTTCATGTTTTAGGCGGTGTTTGCCATACCTGACAGCCCAATCTCAAGAGCGTAGTCTATATGGTCCACACACAGGTACTCCACCAAAATCAGGAAAATGGAGAAGGCATTTTTTGGTAGATCTGCTGGATCCGACAACTACAACAAAGACAGAGAGTAGATCTAGGTTAATGGCTCACAACTTCCAACTAAGAATGACATTATGCCAGGTCTCTCTTGTAAAAGAGATTCTGAATCTCAATGGGACTTCCTGGTTAAATAAAGATATAAATAAAATTATAAACATCATGCATTTTATAATAAATCAGCGCTGGAAATTCCTATACCTTGTTGCATCTTTCAAAGGCATGCCGGGTTTCCTGTAGCAGGTTGACGACAACCTCTTGTGAGAGGAGAGTCTCTCCATGTGTGTCAATACTAGGTCCCAGCGGCAGGTTAGTGCGCTGTCTGATCCGCTCTTTAAGCTCCTGGATACTGTCAAAATGAGGAGAGGAAATTTTTCTAAGTAGTTTTGGAAAACGAATGGAAAGAAACAACAAACCAACAGTTTCTCACCTTCCAGCACCTACAGGGCGTTTTTGGTGGTTCTTAGAGTCATAATAGCGCTGAAGAATCAGGCCGCTGCGGTTTTGCAGATATTGTCGCTCCATGTCTATGTAGCTCTCCAGATAACAGGAGAAGATATTCTTTATCAGCTTAGATAGAAATGTGTGCTTGTCTGAGCCCAAGTTAAAGTCTGTGAGTTTAGCAGCCAGTGCCGTTGTCCTAAAAGCAAATGGGTTATATAACGGATCAAAAACGGTGCTCAGTAAAGCACAAACGTGAGAATTTGAACCATTTCAGAAAAAAAGATGTTTGAGGAAAGCAAAAGTGAACAATTATAATAATTAAATAATGATAACGAAAAACTGATTGTTACCGTGTATAGAGGTCATAGAGGTTCTTGAGGTATTGCTCCACATCAGAGTTGCGGGTCTCATCTAGTTTTTCTTTAACATGAGCCTGAAATCATAAAAAAGCACCATTTGAGCCAATTTGGTTATTTAAAAATGAGATATACCAAGTGTGTCTATTTCTGGGTATGCACTATATTTACATAAACTAATCTGACAGGTGATTAAAGGTAATTTGTGAACTGTGGTACTTTTGACAACACTAATACTTGATTCTGAAATGTAACAATTCCATCCTTTCTGTATTATTGCTATTACCGACTCGATGCAGAACCTGATAGGCAGCAGCTTTGAATTGAATTGAAATATCTTTAATGTCCCCAAGGGGCAACTTAGTTCACAACCGGTAGCCAACACATACACATTCACACAAAAACAGATAAAAACATGAGATAATAAATAGATAAAAACATAAATACAATGTACCTATAGTTTGTTGAGAAACCCAACAGACTCCCACACATATTTTTGTGTGCGCTCTTGTAAACTATGCCAAATTACACACAAAAATAAAAATGGCCAATCAGGGGCATTCTGTGCGCTTTCATTATAACCAACCACAACGTAAACTAGATTAAAAAGTTAGTCAAGACAAACTTTAAGTTGGCTTGTGAAAGTTTGGACCAGAAAGTTTAAATTAGCCTAAGTTTAAATTTGTTTGAATTTAAGTAGTTTGAAGTTTAATAGCGAGTAAAAACTAAGTTGGTAAACAATGTAAATAATAGATTCAAAACAATGTTTTTATAATTAAAAAAAGGCTAAATACTTATGTTTTAATGTATTATTTACTTATAAAAAAAATCAGCATTAATAATGAACTTATATACCTATATTTATTTCTTTATTTAAAGGCAGTGTGTTCAAAGTTTTAAAAGTTTTGCTTTGGTACAGAAAACCATGAAATGTTACTGGTACAGACTACTGAAATGTGATATTATAACAACACAACACAGTACGAATGGGAAGATGCAATTAGATTTAAACATGTTCTGATTAAAACACTTTTTTTTGTACTTGCCTGTGCAAAGTCAAAGCTATTATGCCTCAACCCAAAGGAAGTACTATTTTACATTCCCTTGGTATGGATCATTTTCCTTCTTTAAGTCTACAGATTTTTTTAATCGTATCCAGGTAAAATTTACTTCGTTCATATCATAACCCAAAGCAGTTTTGTTCATGTGTACAAGTGTGTTATGTACCTGTATCTTGTTCTCAAAGATGCTCTGAATCAGTTTAGCCATGACAGTCTCTGGACTGCAGAAGACCTCTCCAACCTGCTTATTAACCCGCTGACACAGAACAGCAATGTCTTCAAATACATCATTCCGTATATAGGCTCCCTAAAAAACACCAAAAAACCAAGGTGATATAACAAAACAAACATTGAGCCGAAAATCAAGATCACTCTTGATGAATATAAAGAACAGAAACAGCGAACATACCTCTTGGCATTGCTTGATGTAGACATCCACACAGTGGGCATAACCCTACAACAAATAATAATACATTTCACATTATACATGTAACAAATGTCCCAAAAAACTGGTATGATCTTGAGGGCTCTTATTGTATCTCCCTACAAACCTTAAAATGTAGCAGGACTGCTGCCACCTCACGCATGCGTCCAATCTCTCCCCTTCGCTGAGCTGCAGTGAACTCCTGGATCAGCTGACGCTCAAGGTCATGATATTTACCTTTCAAACAAACACAGGGCGCATGTTAACACTGCAGATTTAGCAGATGGGTAAATAACATTGTCTTGTTTAGTTTACTGCTGCTTACTTGCTATCTTGGCCTTGACATCAGAAAATCTGAACAGGGACATAACGAGGAAAACAAGCATGGGAAAGAGAGAAGAACAGGGGGAATTTAAAACAAACTTCTTTTCAGACTAACACACCATTCAAGAAACATGTTTGAGATCTCAGACACAGTCAAAACAAATTTTGCAAATGAATACGTTTTCACTTGTTATGTCTTGGCCGATGCATTAATACACTTGCTTGCTTTGAAGAGCATTCGGTTGTATTTTCATTCAAATATGACTAAAGACAAATGGAGGCAGTGTTTGGAAACCTCATGTTTTTGTGTTTGCATATTTTTGTAACTGCATTTGCTAAAGCTAGTTGCGCACAACTTACTTTTCAGCACCAAGCCCAAACTATATATATATATTAGGGCTGTCAAATGATTAATCGTGTTTTCGTGAATCGTGAATTAACTGCATCCAAAATAAAAGTTTTTGTTTACATGATCTATTTGGGTGCACTGTGTATAATTATTTTATATATATATATATATATATATACACACATGCTTGTATATATTTAAGAAATGTTTCCATGTATATAGATTTATATATAATTTATATTGTATATAAATATAGATATTTTATATATAATTAATACTTTTCTTAAATATACATGCATATGTGTGCATTTATATACATAGAAAATAATTATACACAGTTTACCCACATTTATCATGTAAACAAAAACTTTTATTTTGAATGTGATTAATCGTGATTAATCATTTGACAGCCCTAATATATATATATATTTTTTCTCACATAGACTAGGGTCACACACAGTACGTGTGACGTAATAAGCTAATATTTCTCTCATGCTCAGCACACACACTCTCATTACATTTTTGCACAATTTTTTTATTTTTATTTGTGGCAACACTTGCTCAGGCTGTTGTTTTACTGTCGAAAAATAAATGGAAGAGAAACGATCAATACCGGAACAATAAACACCTATTTTGACAAGCGCTTATTTCTTCTGGAGAGAAACAGTACAGTAGAGTTGTCAAAAGTACCGACTGAAATGTAAAAAAAATGTGACTCTTTGAGCACTGTTAAGCAGATTGAACACCTCTGATTGGCCATTGTGTTCAAGCGCTCATCAGATATGTCTGTGATTGGCTACAATGATCAACGAATGATTTAAAATCAACTCCTGGTAGAAGAGTTGCCCGATGTGTGAGTTTTAACTTGATTTATTATTAAAAATATTTATGTTGATTGAATAATAGCTGACGTTTTTTGAACGTTAATCAAGTAAAAGTGTCTATCACGTTAAATCTGTTATTTTGTTGTAACGTTATCTGTTGTCTAGGCAACTATGTCACAAAATACAATAGTATTTATTTAGCTAGCGTTTAGCTAACCCGAGTGAAAACAGCACAGTGTGAAGCCATGTATATTAACGACGATTTGAGACAATTAAATGTAAATTTAAATATAAAACTATGCAAATGGCACTCTGTGGTGCGGCGGGGTTTTGAATAAGGCCCTGCGACGTAGCTGGGCGCCATGGACAGACGCCGAATGGCGCCGCCAGTGTGTGAACGCTAATAGAGAATAATGTGTTCGAATTTTAAAAGACATGGTGCTGAACTTCTCGTCTGGTGTGCGACCCTCTTTTTAGAGAGCACATTGAAGTGTTCGAAAGTCTTTTGAAAGCGGGAGCGTTTGAAAGCACGAACAGGCGTCTATCAGCGGAATGCTCCTGTGTGCATCTATGCAAGCGCTTGGTGAAGAGCCTCAGCCTCATTGATGTACAAACCCAATTCCATAAAAGTTGGGACACTGTACAAATTGTGAATAAAAACAGAATGCAATGATGTGGAAGTTTCAAATTTCAATATTATATCTAGAATACAACATAGATGACATATCAAATGTTTAAACTGAGAAAATGCATAATTTTAAGGGAAAAATAAGTTGATTTTAAATTTCATGGCATCAACACATCTCAAAAAAGTTGGGACAAGGCCATTTTTACCACTGTGTGGCATCCCCTCTTCTTTAAATAACAGTCTGCAAACGTCTGGGGACTGAGGAGACAAGTTGCTCAAGTTTAGGAATAGGAATGTTGTCCCATTCTTGTCTAATAAAGGCTTCTAGCTGCTCAACTGTCTTAGGTCTTCTTTGTTGCATCTTCCTCTTTATGATGCGCCAAATGTTTTCTATGGGTGAAAGATCTGGACTGCAGGCTGGCCATTTCAGTACCCGGATCCTTCTTCTACGCAGCCATGATGTTGTAATTGATGGTAATTGACAGTATGTGGTTTGGCATTGTCTTGTTGGAAAATACAAGGTCTTCCCTGAAAGAGACGATGTCTGGATGGGAGCATATGTTGTTCTAGAACTTGGATATACCTTTCAGCATTGATGGTGCCTTTCCAGATGTGTAAGCTGCCCATGCCACACGCACTCATGCAACCCCATACCATCAGAGATGCAGGCTTCTGAACTGAGCGCTGATAACAACTTGGGTTGTCCTTGTCCTCTTTAGTCCGGATGACATGGCGTCCCAGTTTTCCAAAAAGAACTTCAAATTTTGATTCGTCTGACCACAGAACAGTTTTCCACTTTGCTAGAGTCCACTTTAAATGAGCCTTGGCCCAGAGAAAACGCCTGCGCTTCTGGTTCCCGTTTAGATATGGCTTCTTTTTTGACCTATAGAGCTTTAGCCGGCAACGGTGAATGGCACGGTGGATTGTGTTCACTGACAATGCTTTCTGGAAGTATTCTTGAGCCCATGTTGCGATTTCCATTACAGTAGCATTCCTGTGTGTGATGCAGTGCCGTCTAAGGGCCCGAAGATCACGGGCATTCAGTATGGTTTTCCGGCCTTGACCCTTACGCACAGAGATGGTTCCAGATTCTCTGAATCTTTGGATGTTATTATGCACTGTTGATGATGATAACTTCAAACTCTTTGCAATTTTTTCTCTGAGAAACTCCTTTTTGATATTGCTCCACTATTTTTTGCCTCAGCATTGGGGGAATTGGTGATCCTCTGCCCATCTTGACTTCTGAGAGACACTGCCACTCTGAGAGGCTCTTTTTATACCCAATCATGCTATATAAATATTGCTACCTGTCCCAACTTTTTTAAAATTTGTAGCTCTCATGAAATCCAAAAGGAGCCAATATTTGGCATGGCAATTCAAAATGTCTCACTTTCAACATTTGATGTCATCTACGTTGTATTCTAAATATAATATTGAAATTTGAAACTTCCACATAATTGCATTCTGTTTTTATTCACAATTTGTACAGTGTCCCAACTTTTATGGAATTGGGTTTGTACATTTTCAACATGTTTTTGAAGCACTGATCATTGTAGACAATCACAGACATATCTGACGAGCGCATGAGTACAGTCGGCAATCAGAGGTGTTTACGATTGCGCTCAAAGCGTCACATTTTTTAATATTCCAGTTCTGACTTGATACCGAAGTTGGCACTTTTTGACATCACTGCGGTGCAGGCACTCGACAAAGATTAAACTTTCTACTGCGCATATATCAAATAAGATCACACACAGTATCGAATAGAGTTAACTTTTAAAAAAAGCTGATGCATACAGCTGTACGCATAGGCTAAGCATACACGTTAAAAACCGAACTATAATTTGGTCGTTAACATGCTGGCTGTTTATATGATCTCTTGTACAGCACAACTTACGGGGTTCGTATGCCGTACCCCGGCCCAAACCTCCAATATGGCCAAGACACCATCTGCAGGTCGCTTACCTATCAAACGGCAGCTCCTGAGCTATCAGGTGCAACTTTTGAATGATGTCTGCAGCTTCTTTTATCTGTTTGGGATGAGAAGAGATTGTGGTGAGAGACGGAAAATGGTCATTACAGGACAGACACCTCAAAACACGAACAGAGGCCAGAGGCAGCACCCTTAAATCTAGGGATCAGCCTACGGTAAATCTTCCCCTCCCGTTTGCGTCCCTCGCTCTTCTCGTCCACCATGAGCATGATAAGAGTTAGCTCAGCCCTGCACACCTGAACCTCATCAGCATCAGACCTTAACCCCTGTCCGTCAGCCGCTGCCCAGCCAACATCTTACGTTCACTCATGACTATTAAGAATGGACAATGGCTAATCCCTCAGTAAATCACCTCCCATAATCTGTCCCCATAGACAGGTAGGAGGTCTAGGCAAAAACAGGACCCTGACGAGAACCCCCCACCTCTCGCCCGATAGACGAGGAGAAGAAAAGGCGATCCGAAAGGCCTTGCTGTCCACATATCCTCTGTTCCAACTCTCCTTTTCCTGCCTGCCTCAGCTAACATCATTATTGTGCTCCCGTGAGGTGGATCCATCCCTTTTCCGCTCTCCTCACTGAGGTTTTCTAAGTATCTGTCCCCCAGCTAAGATTAACTAAATCCCATGTAAGTGATGTAGCCGTCTCCCAGCAGTAGGGGGTTTTACCGGCGCTTGTCTCCTCGCTGCCTGGGCCTGGCCCTCCCTTTCACAGGGATTAACCCAGCCTTCGTTCCTTCCATTTCCCTTTGCTTTCACCGGCAGCTCCTCTCACTTCCCCTCTTTTCTCTTCTGGAGGCGTGTACGTCTTGAGAAATATTGAAAAGTCTGGCGGGTATATTCCCACATGGCTCTCTAGAAGCTTGTTGGTGGCCTTATGCTAATAGCTTCAGAAGATGTAAGACTTGCCACCCAGGTTTGGTCACATCATTACGAGTGACTTGAGAGATTAACTTTTAAAGTGTCATTTCCAATTAAGTTGGCGTACACCAACATCTAAGCAGGCCACATATACTAGCCTCAGGAATTCATTATAGCGGAATGAATCACTGTAGAGTTTGAACAAAATTTTAGCAGCTTTGGTTGCAACCTCACCATAGACCACTGTCTAGAAAGTCCTGTTGTGGAGCAAAATATTTAGAAGTGAATAAGCGAATTAATAAGTTGTAACTTCGTGCCAACATACGAACTTTTGCACAGGGATACTCCACTTTTTTGGGAAATTTTACAACTCCCCCAGAGTTAAACAGTTGAGTTTTACCATTTCTGAATCCATTCAGCCGATTTTATGATTTTTTAGAAGAATATCAGTAACCAGACAGTTTCTGGTCTCATTGACTTCCATAGTAGGTAAAAATATATACTATGGTAGTCAATGAGACCAGAAATGGTCTGGTTAGTGATATTCTTCTAAATATCAGAAAATCAGCTGAATGGATTCAGAAATGGTAAAACTCAACTGTTTAACTCTGGGGGAGTTGTAAAATGAGCCTATTTCCAAAAAAAGTGGACTATCCCTTTAATGCAACCGGCCTCTGACGTGAGCTTGTTATACATCCAAAATGGCATGATCAATTGTACTACAAATGATGAGGACAAAGAAGGGAATAATGTAAGATGGGCACAGTGTATTGGACAAATGTGTCAAACTAACATAAACCAACTTCCAACACTATTAACTTCTATCCTCAAATGATGACACATTCATGTACAACAGTTTTATGACTGATGCCACATACATTGAATTCACTCAGATCATGGCCATTTCTACGTTTAGAATGAAACAAGCCTGAAACTGACTTTTTTACATGGAAAAAGAAACAATATATGATTTCAGCCATCTGTATCATTTGTGGTTTGATTGTGGCCTCTTGGATTTTTAAGTCGAGTACTTCTGATGTAGTATTACCAGGCAGTCTATCTACAGTAAATCTGACCTTGTCGGGATTGTTGAAGACATCACTGCGCAGCTCTCCATCCAGGAACTCGTTGAAGTATGTCATGAGTCTCTGAGCCTCCACTGCCCTCTGTCTTGGTGTATTGACTCCTTCCAGCTGATCTCCCAGGTGACACACCTTGGTGGCCACGTAACTGATATGATCGTCTAACTCCTGGAAGTGCTGGAAAGCTACCTTTGAAACAGCATACACAAGAAAGTGAAGGTTATACTGGTACATGTAATTGGTGGTAGAGTAACACAAGGTTACTCAAATGGCTCCTTGTCTTTAAAAACAAAAAAAGGCAAAAATGTAAAGGCCACTGACTTGGTTGCTTCTCTGCAAGTCTTGGACCTTGTGGGCAAACTCCTTGGCTTCCCGGTGGCATTGCTGCTCCAACTTCTCCACCTTCCTTTGGATTCTTTCATCCAGCAGTTTTAGTTCCTCAATGTGGTTCACAAACTCTTCCAGCAACCTGGAACCAAAGACATGACATTAAAGAGCTGCAGGCGGCAAAACACAATTTCTAACTTGACAAGCATTTGAAAAACATTAAAGCGGTGGTATAATGCCCTTTACACAAGATGTAAAATAAGTCTCCGATGTCTCCAGAGTGTGTATGTGTTAGCTCAAAATACCCCTCATATATTTTTATATAGCATGTTAAAAATGTCACTTTTTTGAGGGTGAGCAAAAAAATGCTGGAAAAAAATAACAGTTCTGTTTCTATTAGATCTCAGTACAGATTTGACACCGTAGATCATAGAGCACTAATAAAATTGGGTAGGACTCTCTGTGACAGTACGTGATTGGTTCAGAATCGTATCAAAATGAACAAATCTTTTCCCAAATCAACTCATTCATTTCGTTCATTGAATGAACCAAATGACACGAAAAAAGATTCGTTCATGTTGATAAACGAGTTCGAACAGGAGAGTCACGAACGTGCATCACAGAACTGAGCAAGGCGAGCATTTGTGCTTATAAAACTTAAACTTTGTTATTTTTTTCTTAAAATGAGCGATCGTTTCGCCTGATAAGACCCTTATTCATCGTCTGAAATCGTTTAAACCCCTTTGAACAGTTTGCAGTTTGCACTGAAACTGTCTTTTGGACCTTGAACCGTTTGGTTCCCATTGAAGTCCATTATATAGAGAAAAATCCTGGAATGTTTTCATCAAAAACCTTAATTTCTTTTCGACTGCAGAAAGAAAGACAGGGACATCTTGATGACATGGGGGTGAGTAAATTATCAGCAAAAGTTTATTTTAAAAGTGAACTACTCCTTTAACTATGTTTTTATGACTATGCTTTAACTGTTCAAAGGTTTGTGAGTCAATAAGACTTCAGCAAGAATGCGCTAAATATGTTATAAGTGACAGTAGAGACTTTTACATTTTTACAAAAATGTATATATTTCAAATAAGTGCTGTTCTTTTGAACAGTATGAACACTTATTGTAAAAGAGGAAGGAAAGTCCTGTTTTCCATGTTATATTCCTCTTTGTGTGGATATGCTCATAAAATTAATAAAATTATACTTAAATGTTATTAATCAGTACCGATTCTATTGCTTTAGTGGAGTTAAAAAGAGTGGAGATTTTTTTTTTTTTTTCAAACATGGAAATAAACAGGTTTTTAGGTTTTGGAAAATCTGAAAGAATGTAAAAAAAAAACAAATAATCTGTACTATTCTTTATCATATCTAGGTCATAACCAAATTTGAATGTAAATTCATTTGTACAAATTATCAGATTTTCTTCCTTTCTCAAAACATTCTCAAATGATGTGGGATAACATAATCATCAGGTTTTACAGATATGTGCAGGAAAATTCTGAAATTCGTTTACTTTTTTTAAGCTTCAATCAAAATCTTGTGCTGACAATATAATTTGTGAAAAAAAAAGATACATAAATTCACAAAAGAAACATTTTCACAAGTGGTCACAAACTTCTGGATCTCACTTTATGTTAAAATGTGTGCAGATGGGCTATGTTGATACTAGGTACTAGCCAAATGAAAGAAAATCACTGACAAAGTCGATTTTAGCCAGAACTCTGGAGTCATTTTCATACATGAAAAGTACACTAGAGCGGAGGCTTCGATGAGCGATCCAAAGAACACTCTTTGTGTCCACAGAACGCTGAAAAAGGATCCATTTCACAGTCTGATTTGCGAGATGCAGGCTTACGTCCCAAATTAGGTTAGCTTGGCTAGCATGTAATCTGTGAGGAAATGTTATATAAAACCTGACCAATATTATGAAAACGCCTGAAGCTCTGTTCCCAGATCCCGAAACCAGCTCAATGGCAGGGATCATTATACGCTGGGCTGAGATTCATTTATCGTCCATGAATACTTCTCCAAATAGACGGATCTCAAAGTGTGAAGCATCCAGGGAGAGCATCTTATTTGTCAAGATCACATAAGCACTTACCTCGGCAGCAAATCAGCTAATGGCCTGTTACCATAAATTGTGGTTCTTCATAAAAAGAGCCTCTTCGTGCTGTGTGTGTGCGCACGCAAATATTTAGGAAACCTCACACATACAACCAAAAGCTTCGTCAGCTGCATTTCAAAGAACTTGTAGGACAGCAAAGTCAAAAGCTCGAACTCAGCAAGTTTGGATTCTCTGGGTGGTAGCAAAACATTCTGAAGTGATGAGTATATAATCTCATATCACCGTAATTCCCTAAACGCTGCTGGCAGCTTAAGTTCTTTTTCCTCTCCATCTTTTCCACTCAAATTTGTTCTCTTCCATCATTTGTAAGTCAATGGTTTGCCCAGCTCACAACAGCCTCTTCATGGTCGGTTATTTGAGAGCTTGGTGTAAAATTTGGGGCGATGTTTCTGCTCTGGCAGTCAAAAGCACTTTTGCTGTGTGTGTCTGTGTGTGTTAAAGTAAACTTCATGTCTTTTTTATGCTTTTGACTGTGAAAGTGAAATGACTGTCAAAATAGTCAAGTTGTGATTGTGGACACTATATAATTATTATAAAAGGAAATGAAAAGGTTTCATTTCACTAAAAGTCACACTTAAATGTATTTCTTTGAATTAGAAAACATCTGTGACATTGTGGTAAAACAAGAGGCATCTACATATAAATGGTGCTAGACCTTTTTTGTTGGAAAAAAAACAAAACAAAAAAAAACTTTACAAATGCCACTTTACTAATCACTTTTAAAGAAATCCTGTCATCATTTAAGTTGTTGCAAACCTGTATTTCATTTTCATTTTTGGGTGAACTAAACCTTTAACTATGAACATGTTCCACATGTTATCCAATATTGGACAACCAGAAAGTGCCCAATTTGCATTAATTTTAAACAATATGTGTATTGATTTATTATTTGAAATGTATTATTTATTATTTTTATTTATAATAAATTTTTATTTTTCTATTATTTAAAAATGATAATTTTTACATTTCTTTAAAATAAATGCCACTTGGTTTAATATTATAATGCATGTAACAATATTCAAGCAAACTTGAAATGTGGCTTAAGCGTCAACTTTATTGGTCACTGTATGTACAACTGTGCCCAGAAGGCACAGAATCTGCCAGACATTTATTTTTTCGATTTCTGTCCTTATTTGAAAAAAAAAAAAAAAAAAAAAAAAAGTAAAATGGATTTATATATGGTAAATATTTCAAAAGCTGGGGCCTCATAAAAAACAATGAATAAAATCTAAAAACTGTTTGCTCAGTCAAAAAAGCATATCCTCATTACACATTCTTTATTATTATCCACATTTTGAATAATAGTAATCAATACTATTATAAGAGAAGACAATTGAAACTGTCTCAGTCTATTACATTGACTATCAAAATGTGTTTTTTTTTTTTTAAAAAACTACTTTTGGCTATATATTACAGCTCTGCACATTCTGGCCTCTTCTTAATCAATTTCATGATGTGCATTCTGAGACTTTTACACAACACAGCGTCTTTAGATCAAAAGGTTTATTATAAGATGAGAAACATAAAATCAAAGTCAAGAATTCCAAAACATATGATCAGTGGGGTATGTTTCTGACAATCATTCATATTTTGTGACTCACTTTTTGGGATCAAACGCCTCCGCACCTCCTTTGGAACCTCCTCCAGGTGTTCTCCATGCCAATCTCTCAATATACTCATCAGCATCAAACGGCTCCTGGTAAGATGATAAAGATGAATGGGCAAAAATGTAATCGCTAATGACGTGCACAGATAAATAAGCTAAGAAAAGATAAGGATAATCTGGACTGCTACGAAGACAGTCTAGGGGGGCTGCTAGGGTGTGTGTAGAAAAGTAAAAAATAAATAAATACATTTAAATAACTAATACATATAGCCATACAGTACTGCAGTGAGATGTAGTTAAAAAAAAAACATTTTCCACAACACTTTCCACTAATATTAAAGTTAGGTAATTTTCGGAGAGAGCTAGCTTTAAAAGCATAAGATCCCTCCCTTCCTTCCAAAGCCACGCCTCCTTCAAAACACATGAACGGTAAAGCTGTGAGCAAACAAAAGTGTCCCTAGAGATGGTGTTAAACTACCTCATATCTCAAAGCACATAATATTACAATAATAATGAACATAATCAACTTAAAGAAGACTGAACTGTAGCCTACCCCCTGACTGCTGAAGATTCAGTGTTTGATTGACAGTGTTGCCATTAAAACGCATGTATTGTCACGTTTCAATCTCAATTATAGTAGTTATGGCGTGAACGCAGTATAATCTTGTGGTTCATGAGGAACTTTAAAAGGTGTTTAGGTTGTGGTGCTTGGTGACAGACGTCTATCTAACTCGGCATATCATATGATACGAGTTAATGGAAAAACATACGTTGATGGGCAGGTAGGACATCGGACCGAATGCAATAATTGGATGAATATAATTTATGGTTTCAAGGCCTTTCACAGATGATATACTGTACATATAAAAACATGTAGACCACTTTTCTTAGTGATTGCTCACAGGATGTGAGGAGACTTTCAACCAGCATAACAAAACAAAAATTATGGAATATTGCCCACCCTGCCTATAATTAATTCACAATATAAACTGTGTCTTTACATATGTAAATACAAACACACAGTAACGTTAACGTTAGCTGCCTTATAAATTATAGGATGGGGGTCCATGCTACGAGGATGATCATATTTTGAGGTAACGTTACGTGGCATCCAAAAGAATAAAAAACCCTGGTCTAGAGAATCTGAAGAGCTTTTATTCATAATTTGGCTTGAACATGTCGTCTGCCAACACAAAACATTAGAACAGCAGAGTATTTTGAGACAGTTGGTGTTTAGCTTCTCACTCATACTCTAGTCTACTGCCTGCATTTTAGCATGTCAGTAACATGTCAATATCATGTCAAAACTAAACTATGTATTGAATACAGCACGAGAATGATGCACTTATACTAATCATTAAAACAGTTAATCTGCAAACTGTAATGCAGACCGTGACAGCTTCCGTGCCATATTAAAAAAAAAAAAAACAGACTTACCTCGAATAACTGAGCTGTCGTAGCCATATTTCACGGCGCCAGAAAGCAAAAGTAAGTCCCCAAATAGTGCTTAAAGAGCGTCTTTCGAAACTATAATTTGCTTCTTGTTGTTTATATCAATTCTGAAAACAGTTGCTTCCTGCATCCAGCTGCCATGACCGGGCCGGAAACAGAAATAGGGGGTGATGATACGGGCACTGTGTGCTTGAAAGCAGATCTGAGATCAGTTATAAAATTCTACTCCAATGTGGCTGAAAATGGCGAAGTTTGTTAAGGCTGATCCTACGTCAGTACGTTTTTCGACCACGCCTCAAAACGTCACGTGATCACTGGCAAACAGGAAGAACAAGCTGTCAGATGGGAATAACACATGACAGTTGCGAGTTCCTTTATTTTTCTTTTCTTTTTTTCTTTCTTTTAAACGTGTATCCTAAGTTTACTCCGCGTTAAACTGAAAACCAAAAAAAAAAAAAAAAATCGTCTTACCTAGTGAGATAATAATTGTATACTTCGCTAGATATTTGGCATGTTAGATTAACGTTATTCCCACTCATCACAACAGCATGAGTATACGAGCACTATGGGTTATCTCACACGAGAAGGGTGAATCTGTAAAGGTTCGGTTTTCCAGGTAAGGACACTGTCTGTGATGGCATATTCAGCTTTTTGCATACTGTGTAGTATTTGCTTTTTGTGTTTAGAATGGCATACTAAAGTAGGCTACTGCTTTTATTGATTTTCTGTATGAAATACTTGGATGATCTACTACACTCTCAGCATGATCTTCCATTTCCTATCTAGGTTAACGTTACCTGTTTTAACTAATTCTTTAATTGGACCGATACAAAATATTTTTTAACAAAATTGAATTGAAATGAAAAATAGTTCCATTTATTTCCAAAATGATAGATGCTTCTCACTGAATTTAATTTATGTGACAACAGTTTAGTAGCCTATACTACTGTTTAAAACTTTAAAGTTGTCATGAAATGGGAGTTGCGATAGTCTTTTCTTCCCTGTTGTGATGTATATCTGAGTGAAACGACTTATTGAATAAGAAAAATGTTGGACAGGCTTGATTTTGTCCATTGGTAATTGATTGGATTGTTAGATCGTTGTGGTTTGCTATTGGTCGTTCTTATGTGAGTGACAGGTTGATCCCGCCCTCGTGCCAATAAACACATCAGTCAGAAGAGAAGATACGGAAAGAGGGAGGGGTAGTTATTTTGATAAAAGTTTACGAGGGAACATGCATTTAAAAAAATGGTGTTCATTTATAATAAATACTGCAATATTACATAAATAAAGTCAAATTTGTTTACTTTCTTGTGAATTTCAGTTATCAGGGATCTCCATGAATAAAAAAATACAATCTATGCACAGCACACATACTACAGCAGTAAAGTGAAATGATAGCATGCTTTTTTAAAGAGCCATTTTTCTGTTTTAAGAATAAGAATAAGAAGTTTTATTTATATAGCGCCTTTCCAGAAGCTCAAGGTCGCTTTACATTGCACATACAAGACACCCACATATACATTTCAGCCACATAGGATATATACAGTACATTATAAAAACATGTTAAAAAGAAATGTTTTTACTGGGTCTTGAATGTAGCCACAAATGAGGTATTACGTAGTGTAAGAGGTAGCGAATTCCATAGTTGAGGACCATTAGTACTAAAAGACCTACGGTGGACAACCGGAAATTAGGGATGGACAGTAAACCAAGTTCATCTGATCTGAGAGACTTTGTTTTACTTTTCTATTCAGTTTCGTTATATTTGTCTTATTCATTTAGACGATTCCCAACAGTTGAGTTGCGTGCCAAATCCTTGGCTGGAGCTCAGTATGTGTCTGTCCCGGAGGACCGCGTCGTACCCCAGCTTCTGCTGACAGAGTTGGGCCTGGTGGATGCTGACAAACCTTACGTTGAAGCACGGGACGACTGTGCCCGTCAGCACCGTTCGCCAGCAGTGGAACTCCGTGTAGATGGTTCAGGTGGGAGAACCCTCTGGCCCGTTCTCATCGTAACTCAAGGAGCGTTAATCCTAGCCTGCTTACCTCTAGTGGAAGCAGCCCCTGAGCCTCGGCCTCCTCTCCCCAGCCTGGCCTCAGTCTCTCAGGGCTTAGCTCTTTTGTCAGGCCTGCAGGATTTCCTTTGTGGCCCTGGAGGTAAACCAGAGCCTGATGGGCTGGCCTCCCGTTTGGCTGCCCTTCCGTCTATGCTTCTGCAGGTTTGCCCTTTGGGGAGACCACTGGACACCCCTCCTCCAGCTGGATCGGTGCCTGTCGCTGTGTCCCCAAGCCCAGGCGGGGCTCAGAAACAACCAGCTTGGAAGGCAGGCGTCCATCGAGGCAGGGCGGTGGTGAGTGTGGCCCTTACTGAGAAGGTGAGGTCCATGCAGTACGGCAGCAGTAGTCGACAGGATCTCTGGGATGTATACGGCATGGTCATGTGCAAAGTTAGTCCCTTAACTTATAGCTAACTAGTAGTTTGATTTGTGTTATTAAACTTGCATTACATTTGTTACTTCATGTTTTTCCAGTGTGAGGTTGAAGGTGTTCTGCCCAATGTGACCGTCACCCTCACACTCCCACCCAACGGTTCACCCCTGATGGACATTCTTGTCCATCCCTGTGTGACGTCTCTGGACGCAAGCATTCTCACCGCCTGCAGTGTGGATGAGAATGACGGCTCCGCCTTTTCAGGGCCATACAAATTCCCTTTCTCACCACCTCTGGAGCTTTTCAGACTCTGTAGCTACACCTCACAGGTAAAGCTTAGTCTAGCAATAGTCTGTCTTTTAATAGTGTTTCACAACTCTAAAGGCCCGTACACACCGGGACGAATATCAGCGCGCGTTATTCGCCAGAGTTTTTCAACGTGTTTTTTGTGTTCACACCAAGCGGCAACTTTCTAATCTGAAAGATGAAGCCTACCCGGAAGTGCGAAAAACCGCAATACATCTCAAATCCGCTAGAGGCCGGTCCCAAAAGGGAGCAAATATCCATAGACGTCATGTTAAAATCTCCGTTTTCACAGCATAAATTCATATGTTTACAGTTTGGTCCCATGGACTTTTATTGTAATCTTCAATATGTTCTGCGTGCCTGACAACTGTGAGGGGGGTGAATTTTTTTCTAACTCGTTAGTTTAGATCATATTTAGATATAAAATGTATGACAAATAAGGGCGGTTAACTTTGATTGACAGCTGATAACGGGCTGCGCCGAGTGACTTTGACATCTCGGCCATGATCTGACAAAACACATCATATCACCTCTGTATCCTTTCTGAAACTTTTGTATTTTGAATTTCCCAAGATTTTCCAGTATGGCGCCGCCCATACCCCCCATAAACAGCCTCAAACCCGTTCTTCAGAGAGTCTATGGTGACGTCACAGATGCTTTGTCCATATTTTTTACAGTCTATGGTTCACACCCAAGCGATTTTCGCTGACGATGAGCCGAGTGAACATGCAAAATTCATTCCCTGACATTAGATGGCGCTTAATGTAAAACAGAAATACCCCGCTCTTTATAGCTTTATGCTTTATAGCTCTTTATGCTCTGAGACCAACAAGACCAGCAGCTCAACATTCATCTTGCCCATAGATATCTTGCCTTGCATCTTCCTCGTCTTCCGGCAGCGTAGATGGTGACGTATTACTTCTTCACCATTATCTATGTGTGCTCGGTAAGACTGTTTTTGTGTTTGAGCGCCCCCAAGTTGTGTTTTACTGTAACTTCAGAAGCACCAGACACAAAAGCGCCAATTTCATAGGTCGGATAGTTTTTGACGCGACAAACCAAAAAAACGAAAATGAAAAAAATGTTGTTTATAAAAAATGTCGTTTATAAAAAAATGACGCTTTTACGCGTGCCGTTTTTCACGTCGGTGTGCACACTCACATTGGCGCCCTTTGTTTAGTCACAAGGCGTTAATTGTTTTGGTTGATCGGATCTTAAAGGATTAGTTCACCTCAAAATTAAAATTTCCTGATAATTTACTCACCCCAATGCCATCCAAGATGTTCAGGCCTTTCTTTCTTCAGTGGAAAAGAAAGTTTTTTGAGGAAAACATTCCAGGATCTTTCTCCACACAATGGACTTCAAGTGCAACTTGCACTTTGCCAGGCCTTATGTCATCACGTTGGAAACATAACAAATTAAAAAAAAATAATAATAATAAATTAAAACAAAGATGTCAGATGATTTTGAGGTTGGAGGAGAAAACAGGAGAAAATGAGATGGAATTTTTCGCCCTTCCCTGCCTTTTTGAACCAGAGTACACAGACAAATAACTTAGATACTCTAGATGACTTAGCGCGTCATGACATTTCCAACGTGATGACGTAATCCCTGGCGCGTCGCAGACTTGCACAAGACGAACAATTGTGGTTAAAAAGTATATAAATGTTTCTTTTTTTCTGAAAATATTTAAATTCTTGATAGGAAGGAAAAACATGCCGAGAGCAGCAGCTTTCATTTCTGCTCTGACTGCCGCAAGACCATCCGAGTGTGTGTTAGAAATCAGGAATGGTGAGAGAACATCGTGCCTGGTACGTTTTTCGTCTTCAAACTAAAGCTGATAAAGTTTAAATCCCGTCTGGCTAGCGCACTTTCCATAATGTTTACGCATTAGGTCGGTAAGCGGAGAGTAGGCGACCACACGAGTGTCCACACTACGTAAGCAATCAAATGCTTTTTCGACTATGTCTGGAAGTGGTCGAAAGTGGAAAAGCTCAAAACATTTTAGACCCGTTTACACCTGTATTTAGCGTCGTCCACTTGTGATCCGATCGACCAAAACCCATCTTAATTCTAGGAGTAAACAGGGCCTTAAATCTACACTACCGTTCAAAAGTTTGGGTTGGCAAGATTTTTTTGTCTCTTTTGCTCACCAAGACTCAATTTATTTGATAAAAAATACAGTAAAATAACTTTAATTGTCTCTCATTATGGTTTATGCACACACTAAAAGCTGACTTGGGCTTATAACTGTTTTTGAGGTACCCGTGCCTCCGATTCTTGGCTCCTACCAGCTGAAGGCAGAGGAGAATCATCTAAAGATTAATGTCGTGTTGAAGCTCCATGAAAGTGTAAAAAACAGCTTTGAGTACTGTGAGGCGCACCTTCCATTTTTCAACAAGTAAGTAATGTAAATTTGTAGTCAAAAAATGAATTTTGTTCTCCACACGTGTTGGGATTTACACTTTCACTCATACATTTATAATGGCGGTCTTTGGCTGGGTCTGTTATAGTGTCCTTGTGTGTGCTTCCTCACAGGAATCTAATGGGAAGTGTGGAGGTCAAAGTGAGCTCTGGACAGCTCGAGGTGTCGAAAGAGAAGAACTTACTGGTTTGGGTTCTTGGTATGTCTAATCTTAATATTCCATGTTTCATGTTTGTGTTTATCATTTTTAGGGGCCGAACACAGAGAGTAACTAGGTACCTATAATATGCATTAGTATTTTTATTATTGTTATTCCTCCTTCTCCTTCCTCTTCTTATTTTTATTTTTCTGCTATAAAACGCTTGAAGGAAATTCATTATATTTGGCACACAGATAGAGGACAGTCTGTACATTAATCACAGCAATTTTGAAGTCTCTAACTCAATCCCTCTAGCGCCACCAACTGTCCGAATTTGCACTTACTTTTATGCTAGTGACTTTTGAACCATAAAGGCTTTTCTCACAAACACATTTTTTCCCCTCTGATTCCTTTGCTCAAGAAAGTTCGATTGCACCCTCTGACATAATTTTCCACCCTGAAAATCAGCCATTTTGAGTTTTCTGAAAAAAATAACACTTTTTTTTTTCTAGCTCCAATCATCTTCAGATCGTACTAGCAAAATGTTCAAAGCTTTATTATAGACCCAACCGTTTTTAAATAACCCGCAAACAGATTCAATGAAGCGAGGATGTGAGATAACGCTTTAGCATATTGAGACATAATTTGGTACATCACAAGTATGACCTGAGGCTACTTGCAGCGTTTCGGCTCAGCGCCACCTACTGGTCAGGAGATATGAAAAATGCCTCTTTTCGCTTATAACTTGCCCAAAAATCATTAACCAGGTCTTTTTTTTTATTCAGTTTTCAAGTCGAATCATAGCCAATTTTCCCATGTCCACCATTATAGGCGTTTTTTTTTCTGTGTGTGTTTTAATGTTTTACATAAAAAGCTGTATTTTATGAACACGTTAGCATATTACGAAACTCCATATGGGTCATCAGCACCATGCCCTGACTGTCCTAAAAAAGTTTCAGAACAACGCCACCTTGTGGTCAATTTAGGATTCAATTTCAAGAAATGCTAATGGCTTTTGATTAACCGGTCTCAAATAACTCATTAACTAACTTGATGGCATGAAATCATGATTTTTTAGCCATTTTGACTAAAATCATCTAAAATAAAATTTAATTACTCACTGTTGTGGTCTGATACTCCCAGCCATGCTTGCATAACTCGCATGCTTTTTTTGTGGTTGGACCATTAATTCCTACTTGCAGCTATATTTATCATTTATAAATAATAGGCATTTGTCGTTGTACCTCCTCAGGTCAGAAGTTTCCAAAGGCTCGTGAGGCAACACTGGAGGGGACTATTCATTTTTCAGGGACTGTTGCTGGACCGACAGACCCTCTATGCACAGGCCTCACTGCATATATAAAAGTGGGTGAATTTAGGACAAATTAATCTATAATAAGATATTGAGCATCAATTTATTGCTCAAGATGTCTGTGTTAATGTGCATAATAACAGTTGAGGTGTCCCTGTATTCGTTCCAGCTTTATTTCCGCGTGCCAGATTCGACTTTGTCTGGTTGCTGTGTGGACCAACACTCAGTGCAGGTTTACTCATCTGCCAAACCACGTATCGTCACAAGTGAGTGATTCAGTCACAGTGTTGTTGGTAACTAAAACCAAAACTATTCAAATCTTTTTTGTTAATTTAAATAAAGCTGACATAAAATATAAATGTTAACACTTTACAATACGGTCCTATTAGTTATTAATTGTTGTCCTATTAGTTATTAATATTATTTATTGTTAATGTATAAACTAACAATGAGGAAAATGTTACAGGACAGTAGTTATTCATCTTTGTTAACATTAATTCATCTAAAAATACTACTTTTCATTGTTAGTTCATGTTATCTCAGGTCCATTAAATAATATTACCAGGTACAACTTTAGATTTTAATAATGTATTAGTAAATGTTCGAAAAATACCATGAAATGCTTAATTTAAGCATTGTTTAAATGCTTCATTTTTTAATTAACTAATGTTAACAAATGGAATCTTAAGTTTGTCCATATAAATATTAGAAAAATATATAAATGTTGCCATGGCAACTAATTGAAATTGAACTAAAACTGAAAAAAGCCTATATAGTCATTAAAAAAACTTAAATAAAATTACAAAAGCACATTATAAAACTTAACTTATACTTTAACTAAATTAAAATTTTCAAAATTAAAATATTATACAAGCATATATAGCCTATAGTAAAGTAAAATAACACTGTTCATTGATGAGCAGTGATTGGATGTTGAAATAAATTCACAAGAAAATAAGTTTAAAAAATAAATAAATAATTACATAAGCAATGAGAATGACCCTATATCTTTGTTTTGTCCTCTAGCACGAGAGCTGGTCTCCTCAGAATACTACATCTGGAACTCAACAGGCGACGCCCCCGTCTCATCTGGACTCACCGCTCTCTGACATCATCGAATTAATGCACACTGGCCTTAATAAATCATTCCAGGTTAAAGGATCAGAGATGTATAAATTATATTCTATATGGAAATGTGGCCACTGACAAATGTTGCTGTCATACCGTGTTAGCTTTCATTTATAGTATGACTTTCTAATCTGTCAAAATAAAATATTCAGTGTTTCACACTTATTTAGTATAATGAATGAGAGATCCTGATAAATATTTATAATATAATATTATTTATTTTTTTCGTTATATCAAAATAATTAGTTATTAACTATATTTCTATATATAAAGAAAAGGCAATTTTTAGTCAAATGCTCTTTCTTTTTTTACTAATAAGAAGCAATGCAGAATTAAAATTCAATTAACAGTCCTTTCACTTAGCTTCAGACAGATCCCTAAGTGTTTACTGCTGTTCAGGCTTCGTTTTTCCCTATTAGCTGTTCAGCTGGTTTATATAGAGGCTCCTTGAGCTCACTCACAAGAGGACTTTGCCCCTGTGTTTGTTTGATGAGGCTGAAAAGAGTGTATTCTGATGGCGGAGAAGGAGAGAAGGCAATTGTTAAAGAGAAATACCAGTCTGGTATCCAAAGAGGTTCTTAATTAGTTTCCAAAGTGACCCATAGAGGTCCCACTTAAGCTTGTCTCCGTCTCTCTCCTGCCCAACAAAAACAGTTAATGGAGACTTAAATATACCAGTCATCCAACTCGCAACTAAAGGACCCTTTTCGTCTTTAATTGTTGCAATAGAAAATCAGTTATGCCGCCTATCCTAGTTTGGCTAAAAGTTGAAACTAATATGACCTTATTTGAGCAGCAAGCAGTCATTTCTGTATGTTTAGCGGCTGAGAAGCATTTGGAGTATTCCCATGGAGAAGACAGCAAGATGATGATGGTTCAGCTGGAGCCACATAAGAGCTCTCCACTGAAGCGAACCATTGTGTGAGAGATTAATCGTCTGCCACGTCGACTGATTGCCTTGCCGTGTCTCTGCAAGAACAAGGCAAGACTGCATTCTCACAAGGATTTCCTCCTCAGAACACTGAGCGTGATCAATCTTACAGTCCCCAATAAGGTCCTCTTCATTTCTGTCTGTATTCAGAGGGTTTCACACTCTTCCTCTCAGTCTGACCGGAGCCATTCCCGATCACACGTTTTCTAGTCTTAATTCTTAAGGAATGTGTTCAAAGTTCCAATAGGATTTTCTAAAACAATTAGAATTCCATCCTGAGATATATCGATGATGTATATTTGTATTAAAATGTGGGTCATATGTGGGTTGCCTTTAATTTTAAAGGAGCAGTTCACTTTTAAAAAAAACTTTTGCTGATAAATTAACTCACCCCCATGTCATCCAAGATGTCCACGTCTTTCTTTCTTCAGTCGAAAAGAAATTAAGGTTTTTGATGAAAACATTCCAGGATTTTTAAGAAGTAGGAGTCGAGTCAGCTGTGTAATCACATGCAATAAATGTAAAAAAAATGCATGTTTTAAATGTTATAGTATAAGACACTTAATGTAAAGTGGGACCAAAATTAGCTTCCTATTGGATATGAAGTTTTTATTGTATTTATACTGGACCGTTGAAAACGCCACAGTATAATAGTTTTAAGATTCTGTATGATTTTCTTTAAATTATTTTTCATGTTGACATTTCAATAGGCATATTGGTAATATTTTTTTTGAGATATTGAGAATGTGTTTCTAGTAGATCCCCCCACCTCCCCTCAAGTTAGAATCAGGGTTATTATAGATAAAAAAAAATAAAGCCATTAAAAAACCCATTTCCATTACTTGAGATAAAATAAACATTATTGAAACAAAACAAACAAAAAAATAATACAAAACTTAAACTTATTTGATTACCAAGTCTGTAACAAAAACTAAAATAAAAAATAATAAAAACATATTTTAATATTTTATTTTATATATACAGTATATATGGAAAATATTCTGAATATTAATAATAACCGTAATAGCATCTTAAATATACTGAAATAATGTACAAATAAAATTCCCATTAGGATTGTTTTTCCTCATTAAATTTGAATTGGGTCAGCATGCTATTAGAGAGTATTACTTCTGTAGCACTGACATAATGAAGTCACACACGGCCTGCAACACTGATATGCTCTGAAGCAAAGTCACTCAAGATTGGATGTACATAGGTCCATCTAGTGGCCCTTCTTGGAAAATAGGTTTAGGACATCCAAAAAGATTTTCTAGGAGAAAAGGGGAAATATATCTTAGTCATTACGACCCTGTAATATTATATAAATAATACTAAAATAAATAACACTGGTTAGGGGGTGATCTGCTTTTTTAGAAGACTAATGTCTCAAACGAATTCTTCTAAAATGTGTTATTAATTTATTAATAAAAAAAAAAGATATATATGTCAATAATATAGACATACACACGCGCGCGCGCACACACCGTAGCCCTCAATCATATCATAATCTATCTATACACACACAAAAACTGGGCTTGATTCGGTTGTTCTGAAGGTATATGTAAAAAAATATATATATATATATTTACACTTCTGGTCTTCGGGGTCTATATGACCCCACATTGAAATGAATGGGAAATGTGAAAAAAAAACTAAATATATTTTCTTCATGTGTCAAAAAAAAAAAAAAAAAAAATCCGTAATAAATCTGAAAATTTTTACACAGAAATGAAGGCCTAGCTACTAGAGCATAAATGCAATGTAATTGTGTGGTATATGGATACAAAAGTACTTTATATCTCCAAAAACACAGCATTAATGAATAGATGAGAAGTAAAGAAAAAAAATGATATATTATTCGTATGATTAAAAATGTACGTAGGTCCTATATTTTTTGTACAATTACTCAATCAATTGTTGGGGTCGTAAAGACCCCGAAGCCCAGAAGCGTTCAGGAAATGAAGATCATTTGAAGGTTAAATGTCATGTTAAATGTGTGTAAACTGTTTTTGTTTTGTTTTTTATTTCTATCAAAACTCCATTACCCAGCATGCTTTACTGCAACGCGCCGACTTAGTGTCGTAAATCATCCGCTCTGCTTTACGGCACATAATAAGCAAGTGTGGAGTGAATTGAGTAATGGCAGGAACAGACACGAGATAGTCCACGAACTTGACATTATTCCTACATTTATCAGGTACCGGCAGCCGGACGGACGCCTGTCTTTGTCGTCGTTCGCTGTGAGAGGCTGATTCCGACCCCGTTTTTCTGTCATCATAATAACTGTATGCAGTGGAATGGCTGAAGTGCCGCCAGGGCCTAACGCACTGCCTTCATCCCCGAGCGAGATCACAGTACTGCCCGTGGACGGCTGCACCTTGCTGGGCAACGATGAGGGACGGGACATCCTCAGCCCCGGACAGGGACACCAGCACACCAGCGACCATAAGGCGATAGTCAAATCCAACCAGAACAACGTGCACCCCAATGCATCAGCCTCCCAGTTCCACACAGCCCAGCTGAACGGGGTCCAGTGCAACCACACTCACCTCCAGAACCACGTCCAGCAACATCGGCCGTCCGACAATCAAAACGCCGCTTCTGATCATCACTTGGACGGAGTCGCTGAAACACAGGGCGATCACACGGAAAACAACAATTTAACGAGAAATAAACGATGTAGTGATCTAACGCAGAGCCAATCGCCGCCGAACAACGGGATAAACTGCAATGATAGTATGGCGATAACGGAGAGCAGCTCTTGTCGATTGGAGAATGATGTAAGTAGCAGGACTGGTTCGGTGGGTTCGGCTCGGATGGACGGGGCAGAGTCAGGCCCGGGCCCGCAGCGGTCTCGAGTAGAGCAGGCGCCGCCTGACAGCGCTCTGGTGGCGGCGATGTCGAGACTAGCGCTGGAGGAGCACGACGAGTCCATCCGATACGTGAGATACGAGTCTGAGCTCCAGATGCCCGATATAATCCGACTCATAACTAAAGACTTATCTGAGCCCTACTCTATATATACCTATAGGTACTTTATTCACAACTGGCCTCAGCTCTGTTTTCTGGTATGTATCGTGTCATTCAGTTATTCTTGATGCTGTTGAAATCAATATCAAAGCGTTCAACATAACAAAATGTGTAACATCGATAAAATGGTACTGATTAGCATTTTCTTGCTATTTATATGTTATTCCAATGTAAATCAAAGAATAGCATGATATCATTGTTCATTACTATTAGCCTACATGTCTAAAAAAACAAGGAGTCTAAACATATACCCATTATATGTCATATAACCATCTTCAAGAAAACATTACATTTTAAATGATTGTCATATTTTTTAAAAGATTTAGTACATGCCCAGTTTAAATGTCATTCTACAGTGATGAAAAAAATGTTACTAATTGATTAGCTTTTTCATATATCGTGGTATTTAAATGATATGCCAATTTACATTAAAAAATATGTCAATGCTACCATATATTACCATGGTTTATAAAAAAAAACATGAAATGAACACAATTTTATATATATTTTTTATGTATTTTCAAATGTTTGTCCTTTTTTAAATGTCACATTGCTTAAGTGATTCAGATGTAACCATATGACTATTTACTGTTATACACTAAATATTAGTTATTGTATCTTTTGCAAGAGTGATGTTTAAAATGTATATAATCTCTTAGTGAGTAAGGATGTATGCTTACATAACAGAAAAGTATCAAAAAGTGTCATGGTACATATTTTCTGTGATAATACCATGCATTTTTGACACACTAATACCATAGTATTGTTGGTGCTAGGGTGGGTTAGTTAATCATTCAGTACAGTGGGATATACAATCACTTCGCAGTATTTTGTAAGGGTAGTTTTTATTACTGGGATCTAACCATGGTAATGTGGACCAGTCCATATCGTGGTTTTATTAAAAAAAGTACCAGTATGGTACATTCCAAGGCGTTGAAGTGTATTTATATCATTTTTAACAGATTGAGGGTGGTGTAATTCTCATCTTGAGTCTTAGTATTAGAGATATTTGTCATTGTTTTGCACAGTTCACCATATGAATTGCAGTGTCTTGCTGAGTCTTTCTTTGATGTGTCACAGGCGATGGTTGAGACGGACTGTGTTGGTGCCATCGTGTGTAAGCTAGACATGCATAAGAAGATGTTCCGTCGAGGATACATCGCCATGCTCGCCGTGGACTCCAAATTTCGCAGGAAAGGCATCGGTAAGAGCTATGCTAGCATGGTTGCCCTCACCTCAGAATGGCAACAGAAGGGATCTTTTTATAGGACCCGCGTCTGCTTCAGTGTCAGCTCATGGATACATTTAGTGCCTGAATGCTTTGAACTGCTATAAATCAATGGTTTGCCTTTCTGTGTCGAAGGAGCTCGATGTTCCATGTGTATTATTTACCATATTCAATCGGTATATAAAATACTGGAAATGTATTATAAATGATTAAAAGCTGTACTTGTTTGTTAGGCACTAACCTTGTGAAAAAGGCCATTTATGCTATGGTGGAGGGGGATTGTGATGAGGTAAGAGATTAATCTTGTAAATATTTCACGCTATGGATATATTTGGAATGGAATACTGCTACATACTACACAGTAGAGTAGCATGGATTGACGATGAGTCTTGTGTTAATGCTATTGGCATTTAAAATTAGTATAATACTTTTATTTTTAAAATAGTAAATTATATAGTAATACATGTTATGCTACATTTTGTCATGTGTACTGATGTTGGATCTCGGGAACTAATGCCATTTGTCATGATTTATGCTAAATGTGATTGTGCCGAGTATTTAAGATACAAATTAGCAGTTTATTTAATTTTGTGTAAAAAAAATGTCTATAGTGTTTTCAGTGAGAAGTGAGGAAATATCATGCCATAATACTCATCACTGTCCATTTTTATATTGTTTTCTTAAATAGAAGATCAGTAATATTACATTGAGATGCATTATACAAGGCTAAGCCGTCAGGTTGTATTCTGCAAATGCATATGTACAGTGCCTTACAAAAGTTTAAATACCTAATACTTAAAATAACATTTTATTTAGCAATTTTCAACATTGATAATTAGATCAATCATTATAAGAACTGTTTCTTTTTACTTTATTTATTTTTAGAATGACAATATTCTTCTAAAAGAATTGTTTTAGAAGAATATTCTTGCACTTTTTCTGACTAGATTTATTTAATATATTTTGATAGATTTAAAATAATGTTGGACAGTTTTTACTGGTCAAGTTACATAAGTCATATGGCATTACAGGACCCACAAATATTCCCATTCCCCCACATTATAATCAACATTACGTATAGTAGTTTAATGTAGTACTGACACTAAAACTCTGTAAACTTGAATTTTTTCTCACCCTTTTATTTAGAGATTATTTGCTCCAAGTGAGATTGTTAGTATGAAATTGAACACAGTATATGGCAATATTGTTTTCAATAAAAAACATTTGAACAAAGCAAGCCAATCCACTTTTCAATGTTGATAAAAAATAATGGGACAAAAAGAAATCAAGAGACATTTAGAATAGATAATCACAAGTCAACTATGACATTAATGCGATTAATCGCGATTAAATATTTTAATCGTTTGACAGCACTAGTGAAAACGCATGAAGTGACCAGGTGTGAATGAGTATGTAGTACTACGCCATTCCAAATATGCCTCAACTTCCATTTTCCCCTCACTTGTGTTTTACATGTAAGACTATGCTATGCCCATTATTTCTCTATGCTTTATTTTCATCCTCAGGTGGTGTTAGAGACAGAAATCACCAACAAATCAGCCCTGAAACTCTATGAGAACCTGGGCTTTGTCAGGGACAAGCGGCTGTTTAGATATTATTTAAACGGAGTGGACGCACTTCGGCTTAAACTCTGGCTTCGCTAAATCAAACTACGGGGTCCCTCAACTCTTTCTCCATCCCTTTGGCCTCCTCTTCCTCCGCCCCAGTCCTTCGGCTCAGACCACCTGACTTCCCATCAATAGAAAGACACTCGACCTCTGCTGAGCCACAAAGGGGAGACTCTGAGGGAAATTTCAACCAATCATAATAAAGTGTTTTAAGAACTTTTTGTGTAAACAAAAGAGAGGTCATTGCAGAAAAGAAAAAGAAGTCGGGTACTAATATGACATTGACACCGAAAAGAAAAACACACGTCGGCTTCGATGTTCAGATGTCAATAGCCTGGCTTAACACCTCCGTGTATTTGCGTCAGGCAGTGGAGGCGGATGGGCCGAATGTGTCGACGGCATTGGAGAAATGAATCGTGCCGAAAGCAAACAGTGCGCCACACTTAGTTGTTGTTTTTTTTGTCGTTTTTTTTATGAACAATCACAATGCGAAGGATGAAAATGTGTTTAAACCGACTCAACGAAACTACTCGAATCATTTTTTTGTTTTACAATTTAGTTTTTCTAAAAGAGGGTGCACGGGAGCATTGCAGGTTGCGATTGTGCCTGCTACTTTGCTTTGTTTTTGTGCGTACGGGGGTCTGTGGTTTATTTTATGTGTTTATTTTATGTTTTGGAAAACACTGAGCAGAGCCTTGTCTGCTTTAGAAGTTTGATCTACGACAAACTAACACACACAGATACAGAAACACTTTAACCTGAGTGCTGACGGCATCTCTGCTCTTTTAAGTTGGTCTTATTAGCTCACGTTTTGCCATATTGGTTTATGTGGCTTGTGATTCTGACATAAGTGTTTTGTACAACTAAATTAAAATGAATGAAAATCAATTACTAAATGGCCTAAAAGGAGAGTATTCCCTGTTTTTTTTTCCAGTACTTTTTTACCACAGACTTCATTCATAGATGCTCCCTTTCCATGTCTGATACAATGTTTGGATATTCGGATATGCTGAACTAGAGAAATGAACCTCAAACAGACGCACTTCTCATTTTTGCACTGATTAGATAGGGAATTTGTGCTCTGTATATTTCCCTTGTCCGCCACTGCTTTAGTGGACCAGTAAAGGACAGACTACAGATCTCACCAGCTCAGTTGCTCCGTTGGACTCATGCAAATAGTTGCTTTAAAGTCATGAAACTATGGATGCTTTTTCCGCCTTGGAATAAAAAAAAGATATTCACTCACAATTATGACTTTTTTTTTTTCCTTCGAAATTGCGAGTTTACATCTTGCACAATTTCCCAATGTAAAGATGCAATTGCGTGTAATAGTCTTAAATGCAAGATATAAACTTCCAATTATGACACTTTTTTCTCAGAATCTCACAATTCTGACTATTACACGCAATTGTGAATTTCAGTTAGGATATTGGAATTATATTTATAACTCGCAATTATTGTGAGTTTATATCTGACAATTCGGAGAAAAGTCTCAATTGCGAGTTATAACGTAAAAAGTCGCGTTTGTGAGAAAAGAAATTTCTTTATTTCTCTCAGTTGTGAGTTATAAAGTTAGAATTTTTACTGCGATTTTGTATCCCCCATTATTTTTTATTCCGAGATTTTCCGCAATTGCGAGAAAAAAAAAGTCGTAATTGTGAGTCGCGATATTTTTTTTTTATTCCATGGCGGAATCAAGCTTCCATAAAATACAGATTGGTTATATGCAAGACGACAATGTTTAGAGGTGTTTTTAAAATTGAATGGAGGAAATGTCCCGAGGTTCTTGTTTTTATGGGTTTGTGTTTAACAGTAGTGTGCTGTGGCAGGTTGTACCATCACGTTGTATGTAAGTGTTTCTATGTCATTGCCAATAGACCCCCATTTTTGCTTTGCTGCTGGCTCATAAGTTGTTCTTTGGAGAAAAAAAACACTTTGTTTTTTCAAGTTTGGAGTGGGAAACAGTTTCTTTTGATTTGCTAAATGTACATATGGAAGTTTGATTTGTTGTTTTTGATTGTCAACAGAAAAGATCCCCATAGAGCTGCTGCTCTCAATTGTTCGAAGATGGATGGGTTGCTTTATAAATTTGCGCTTAAATACACTGATATTGCTGATGGAATTACGGGAAGAGGAATTTATGCGTCTTTTGGTTGTTTTTCTGTTTTATTGAATTTTTTTTTAAAGCCCAAATTGTAGTTCATCTCCCAGAAATGTAACGGTCCCATCAATTCCCTTTGTCAGTAAGGCTCAGGTGTTTCTATTCAATTCTCCTTTCACTAGTCAGGCGCTCCTTTCAAGGACCCAGTGGTTCTTAACAGCCATCTTGTCTTTGATTTCTTTGATTTGGGTGGACAGTCAATGTTGAAATGGAAATTTAAGAGCCTTGAGTAGCTTTCGTCCAAACAGACCATCTACGTAATTTAGCTTGTGAATTTAGATTTTGTCTTCTGTAGAACACACTAGAAGACATTTTGATAAATCTGTGTTTTTTTTCCCCCTACAATGCCATTTGGGGTCAAAAGAACATTAGATTTATATTGTATAGACAAAAATGGTTGAAGCATTCTTCAAAATGTGTTCTGCAGAAGTTTGGACTGATATAAGGATGAGTTTAATAAAGGCAAGTTTCTGTTTTGATGAACTATCCTTTTATTAAATTTCAATGCTTTTCACAAGATGCCAACTTTGCCATTCTATGCTGCCCATGTTTTCGTATTGGAGAAATGTTTTTTTTTTTTTGCAGTGCCCAGTATCTGACTTTTGTGGTTTGTCACTGTAAGCTGTCCATCAGCTTTAGACCGAACAGCTGGCAGGTTCTAGCTGGGTAAGATCACATATTTAGATGATGTGGACACTAATCTGACTGGCTTCTGTTTTGGGGAATCATTCAATGATGGGACTAATTTTGAATCTGCACTTGTGGCTAAATATCACCCTTGTAAACGGTGGATTTTATGTTGTAGTTAGTGTAACTCTTGTACTTTCAGCTGATGATTTGGACGAGTGAGATCTGCACCTCTAACATGGATCCATTTTGCTGGGGGAAGAGCGACCGTTTGCATGTTGATGAACATTTTCTCCACCCTTGTTTCTCCCACTTTCACCCCTGACAAAATGTCTTGCAAAAGTTTCTTTGTTTTCAAGTGGACAACAGACCTGGTTTAAAAATTATAAATAAATTATTTGATTTTTAAGCAAATGTAGTAGTTTGTTTTGTTTTTCTGAAAGGAGAGCTTGCAAATCAAACTTTGGAATGTTAAATGATGTCAATTCTATTTTAATGTTGTGGTTTTATTGATATTTTTTAGAATAATTAAGACGATTAAAGGTTAGTTAAGCAATTTATGTGCCAGTATTAGGCGAAATCAAACGGAACTACAATCTGTGTGAGTAGATTAAAATATTATTGGTGGTGTTATAATCATTATAATTAATTTTGGCGACTGATTAATGGCAGCCGGAGAATTGTTTGGAAGTTGTAGTTATTTTTCAGATTCTGTTTGATGCTGATAGTGCTCAAGCAATTACTGTACAAACTTGACCTTTAAATCTTGCTTACTTCAGTATAAAAAAGGCCATCATAGCAAAAGGGCCACTGAGTTCAACATCAGCTGTTCATTAGCTATTTACAGCGGCAGAGCTACTTGATTATTCATTGCTGTTAATTTGTGTGTGTAAGTACACTGATTTGAATCTGTTGAAATTCAGTTTTGTTGTCGAGAGGAGGCAGCTGTACTCAACGCCACTACAATGTTTTGTTTAACATAATTGCACAAGACTGATTCACATAACAAGATTTTTATTTCATTCCTCAGACTATATATACAGACATCATTTTCTGCAGGAAAATTGCATGATTTGCATCTTATGTCTTTCTAGTTTTGCATAATCATAACACCACTTCATACATGTGTAACAATTTATGCCAGTTTCAAATTCAGTTATATACATTTTTCACTAGTTGATTGTTGGTTACACTTGATCATTATTTTTTTAAATGGTTTTGCTTCAAAAGTGCAAGGCTGTAAAATAAAGTGCTTCCCTAATTTGAAGACATGTACATCATATCCAGATAGCAAACTGACATTGAATCAACGTGGAAATATGACATCGAAACAACGTTGATCTGACATTGTTTTGCTCATCGAATTAACGTTGAACCAACGTCAGACGCGTCATTCTTTCAAAACTAACGGAAAATCAACTTGAAATCAACGCGTTGTTTCAACGTTATGAAAGCAAACCAATTTTCGATTTTCATTTAGCTTTGAAGAATGCCGCGTCTGACGTTGGTTCAACGTTAATTCGATGAGCAAAATCAACGTTGTTTCAATGTCATGAGAGACGTCGTTTCCACGTTGATTCAATGTCAGTTTGCTATCTGATAGTAATTGTAATGAGAACTAAACCTAACCTTAACCCATGTAGTTACCTTATATTATCCAGTACTTTCTTAGGTGCATACTGTAAAACAAAGTGCCAAATTGGCTAGCTGCCTGCAGGATTAAAAAAGAGTTATATAAATATTTCATATCATTGGAAGACCTTTGGTCAGTTCCACAGACAAGGCTCAAGTCTAGTCGTAGGGAATTAAGTTCCTAATTGAACAAAGGCCTAATTCCGGCGTATTTAAGCCTTGTCTGTGAAACCAGGCGCTTATGTTGTAGGGGGCACAATAAAGGAGGATCATGGTCTGGTGATTGGGATTGTAGACTGTAGATCAGGGTTCCCCAAACTCAGTCAGGACACTGTCCCTGCAGAGTTTAGCTCCAACCCTGATTAAACACACCTACCTGTGAGTTTCTACTGATCCTGAAGACCTTGATTAGCTTGCTCAGGTGTGTTTGATCAGGGTTGGAGCTAAACTCACACAGTAGCCCTCCAGGACTGAGTTTGGGGAACCCTGCTGTAGATTTTACAGTCATCTCACACCATGAAACTTCCCAGTTAAAGACGGAGGGAGGACTTTCTGCATGGAGTTTGCATGGTCTCCCCATGTTTCCACTTTCCCCCAGAATCCAAACATGCCTGAAGATGAATTGGAGGCCGTAAATTGCCAGTTGGTGAGTGTGAATGTGTGTTAGTACTGCTATGGACTGGCCATTTGTGTGTGTGTGTGTCCTGCCTGCAGCCAGAGAAGCTGGAATAAGCTCTAGCATAACCGCAGCCCTACTTAAAACAAATAAAGTCGATGGATGGATGGTGGTGCTTGGGAATGACCTTGCAGCTTTTGTGTTAGTAGCCCAGGTTGTTAACCATTACTCTCTCACTATACTGTTAAAATAACTCTTCCAGAATAAACGCTTGCAACTTAAGGTCTATGTACAGCATTTGTGGCATGCAGTTAAATACCTTTAAAAAAAAGTGTACCCCATACTTCAGTCAATAAAAATGAACAAAAATGCAATGCAATACAAATTGACACAATAAACGCTAGCAGATGTGTTAAAATGAGATGTAAGATGTGTGGTATAATTGCGTACCAACCATGGGCTAAATTTCCTAAACGGCGGATTAGCCCGAGAGCGTTTTCCATAAAAGTGCCAAAGGGAGTTGAAAAGTTCTGAGCGTGCAAAATGAAACAACACAAATGCCCCCTGAATACAATGAGCAACATTAACTACCAAGAGCAGCTCAAATTAGTGTCTGGTTTAAGACATTCTTTTTTCGGTCGTTAAATTGTAATTTAAATACTCTGCTCCCATACATTTTGTCTGAAAGGGAAACTCCTGCGAATGCATATGCAAAAATAACCCTGTTCGTTTCTTTTCATTGTCATTTCATTTTCATGTCTCATCAAGCCCCTTCAAGTCAAGGTAACTTTATGTTTGTGTTGCAAAACCTTTGAACAGTTTCTATCAATTGTGGGTCTAGATTTGTTATGCTCTTTGGAGAACCCCAGTCCTTATGGTGACTTCCTTCCCCAGACTTTCACATTTATGGTCTTCTACCTCTGGCCGGATTCCATTTGCCAATAGCGGTTTATCACTCATGTCTCCCACGTTTGGGTCTGTCAGCTGTGGACTTGGCAGCAGCAGTTCCTTTACGTCCGTCCAGAATCCGTCCCTCAAACTCATCCCAGAAGATATATTGTTCCATTGACCTGGATACAAGCCGGACCCTCTGACTTCTTTCCATCTCCTCTCCTTCCACTGATGCATAAGACAAGACTTCAATGAGCTCAAGTACACAATCAAAGTGAAAAGGACAATTTGGGCAATGTATTAATTTGAAAAGTGTTCAAACTGAGGGACTCACCATAAGAGGCGTACCACCTCTTCGATTTTCCCCATCTTTCCCTAAAGCACCTCTGCTGAGCTTGCCGCTTCTTGGTTGCTTGGCGACTGACCATCGTCTGTGCCAGCAGGAAACCTTTCATGTGTCTCTGCTAAGGTAAAAAATTCTTAAGTGATCCAACTAAGAATAGCCTCAATGTGTAATTCTGAGTGGTATTTGAAATAGTTGCTAAACTATTGTTATAACACTTGAAGACTCAACAGAAAGTGTACCACCTAGTGATGGGGACGAGACCGCCTATGCCGAGTCCAAGTCAAGACGAGTCTTTGAAGGGTCGAGTCCGAGTCGAGACCGAGTCTTTGAAGGGTCGAGGCCGAGTCCGTTGGTTTTCAAATACAGTCGAGTTTGAGTCAAGACCGAGTCTTTGAAGGGTCGAGTCCAAGTCGAGACCGAGTCCATTGGTTTTCAAATACAGTCGAGTCCGAGTCAAGACCGAGTCTTTGAAGGGTCGAGTCCGAGTCGAGGCCGAGTCCGTTGGTTTTCAAATACAGTCGAGTTTGAGTCAAGACCGAGTCTTTGAAGGATCGAGTCCGAGTCAAGACCGAGTCTTTGAAGGGTCGAGTCCAAGTCAAGACCGAGTCTTTGAAGGGTCGAGTCCAAGTCAAGACCGAGTCTTTGAAGCGTTGAGTCCGAGTCAAGACCGAGTCCATTGTTTTTTAAATACAGTTGAGTCCGAGTCAAGACCGAGTCTTTGAAGGGTCGAGTCCAAGTCAAGACCGAGTCCATTGTTTTTTAAATACAGTCGAGTCCGAGTCAAGACCGAGTCCGTTGGTTTTCAAATACAGTTGAGTCCGAGTCAAGACCGAGTCTTTGAAGGGTCGAGTCCGAGTCAAGACCGAGTCTTTGAGGAAGCAAGTCCGAGTCAAGGTTTTGTCCCGACAGATCAGTTTTGAAACGGTTTGTGGTTCTGAAAGGCGAATTTGATGACGGCAGACTCGTTGCTCATCTTGCCGCCGCTCACACCAGGCAGCAACTGAAGACACTGATGGCTCTGATGACAGTATCTTTGCATTGCACCATGGGATGTCATTTTTAAATAATGCCCGTCAACATTGCATTTTATTATGATAGTTGTTATGAAAGCAGATTATTATTTCTGTTAGAAAGCAGAAATCGGTCTCGAGTCCGAAACCAGACTCGAGTACTACATCACTAGTACCACCTTTGGATTAGAGATTGGGATATGGCTAATGAGTGGAGCTTCATGTCCAGCTCCACCTCTCGGGGTGTAATGGGTGAAGCTTAAAGTTTGAGCCCGGTCCTTACCAAAACCCTATACATATCTTGGTCAAAACCACCTACATCCAGAGAGGGGATCTACTCCCATTCCCTGTGCCCTGATGATGGATCCCAGAGATAAAGGTACCACGGCTGCACCCCAGCATACTTTCCACTCCAACAACACCGTAATCAGATCTAGTGGGACCACAGGGCAAGGCTCAATGCTCACCAGCTGTCAGTCTTCTCCCTCTTTATCTACATCTTTTAGTCTTGAAACACCATCACAAACTCTCGGTACCTGAGTTGTCAAAACCCCCATCTTTAACAATATATCGGACTGCATGTCTATTTGCATACTTTTCTATATGCAAGAGAAGGATCAGTGTTTGAATTATACTAATGCATCCAGGAGCTGGGGCTTTAATATTTGGAAGACCCACTGGATGGGGATCCTGATCAAGAGGTTTAATTTTGCGATATTGACCGATTGACTGTACATTATCATTTACATTATCCTAGACAACCAGAATCTTGATGGTGCTAATTTAGCTGTTACTTTGAGAAGGTTCAAGGAAATGTGTTTGGTTTAAATTTTTTTTAATTTTTAAATATTCACCAGAGATGGTTTTATTATTGGGAGATTATTGGGGTCCGTGGCTGGAGAAAGTGTAGCGGCCAACTTAGATCATGATAACCAATCACAATACAGCCTTGACGTCATGTTCATAGTTGTGGGACAGTCAATCAGTCTGTGAACGTCCGGCCTAGAAAAGAGTTGTATACCTGTAGTGTGTTGCTTGTGCCACAGCGCCCTCCCAGGCTGGGAGTGGAAAAGCAATGGACAGGCCCATCTCTCCATCCCGTGTCCTGGCAAGAACAAACGCATGATGTTCATTAAAAGACAAGACAGAAGCTACCCTTAGATTTGCCCTCTTTGGAAAGTGATTCATTCTTTCAAACTATTCAGAGAATATGGAAGAATATAGTGCACGACCTCAAACTCTTCCGTTTTGCATGCCATGCGTGCATGTTTGGCAGGATTCACATCAGCCCCTGTGGCAAGGGACATTGTTTGCCACCCCTGTGAGTTGAGTTCAATAATGTTCATAATTAGGATCAAAATTATATTGAATAAATTGAAGGACTGTATGAATGACTTCAAAGTGATTATACAGTAAAGTAACTATACATCATGTTCAGAGCTTTGCTGGATGTGGTGGGCGAGACTTAATAATGCTTTTATCACAGACACTTTGAGACCCTGTGGGTGACATCACAACTAACAACACACATATGAATGAAATAATAAAAAGCAAGGTCTATGTCAGACCCATCAAAATGTCTTACCCAAGTTACGTAAAAGTAATACACTAGTTTGTTATTCAAAATTGAGCCTATGCCATCTAAGATGAGATCAATCATTCTAATATGAGAACTAAAATCAGTCTAAAACGTTCACTTAGCAACGTCATAAATAGATTTGGTAGTCGGCACATTCAAAGGTCAAAAGAGTACAAATGAACTATTGTGTTGTGCAACACATTGCATGATTCATAGAGTAATTTTGTTCATAATTTGAACTAAACATAAAGTCTGATTATCACTGACCTGGTTCTAAACTAACAATATGAGGCACTTTGTGTCTTCCTGTCAAAGGAGGAAGATGGTTGGTCTTCCTCGGTCCCACAATTCCTTTCTCTTGCCTCTCTGTGCCTTTCACAGCAGTTATCATCCATGGTGAGGTTGGAAGCAGGGAAGGCTCGTCCTCCATTGGTTGATCAAGAGATGGTGCAACTTGGCAAATCTTTGGCCTGGAGTTGCTGTTTCCCATGGTCCATTTATACTCCCAGGCAAGTTAAGTTATGTATCAAATATATCTCAATATTCTAAATTTCCTAAGCTGCTTTCAAAGGTGTAATCCAGGCCTAACTTCTCACTCCATCTGAATCCAGGTTGAATCCGTAAGGTTAAGTTTTGACTTAACCTGAACAAAGAGTATTACCCCTCAGTGCTGCTAAAGCATACAAACTGAAACTCTGGCTAAGTTGTGTTGTGAAATGGCAGGTGCGTGCTTTATATTTCTCGGTTTTGGCGTAATGAGGTAAGTTTCCATGGTGACTGTCCCCACAGGTTACTTTATAACTGTGTGTTAATGCTTGGACGGCGGTGAGAGGGCCTGTCTTTCTGATTGCTCAGGCATGCGACCGCTCAGGGAACCAGGCTTGATGATTGACAGAATTAGGAACAGTTTTCTGTTTGTCGGATTACAGCAGGTATAACTTGACTTTAGTGAAAATTAATTTGCTGGCTTGCAATTATTACACTGTATAAGTTATGCCCATTCATAGTCAATTTTTGGGTTTCTTTCAAATAATAACTTATGCCTGCTACGACCTCAGTTATATCTATATTATGACTATGACGAGTAAAAATCTAGATTAAAATGCATTCAGAAAAAGCTTTGTATATATCTGTATCTATTTGTTGGTTTTTATAAATACCATTTCTACCAAAAGTTTTATTTGGAATAAAAATGCTGTAGCCTGAATGTCAAATAATGTCAAAGGTCATCTTAAATATATGTGAATGTTCACACAAAGTTCCCTAAACATACACAATATGGCCAAAAAATATTTATAAAGATGTATTTTTCAATGTAAATAGAAATGATTTGATCAAAAGTGACAGATCAAACAAAAAAAAATCTATTTCAAATACGTTTGAACGTTCTTTTCGTCAAAGAATCCTGAAAAAAAAGGTCTCGGAGTTTCATCTATTCAGCAGAACAAACATTTATAAATGTGTTCGTGATGTTTCTTGAGCACCAAATCAGCATATTAAAATGATATAAAATAGAAAATATTTTTATTTTACAAGAAATTAATTTGTAATTTAAATGTGAATAATATTTGTCTTTTTGATTCAATGAATTCAGTCTCGGTGAGCATAAGAGGCTTCTTTAAAAACATTTTAAAAATCTATACCGACCCCAAATTTTTCATTTGAATGGAAGTATATGTTAATAAAAAATACTGTAAATCTTCCTGTTGAACTGTGTCAGCACATGGAGGGTTATCAGCACCTCCCAGTCCCAGGGTGAACGAACTAGGCCCCATAATGTGGATTTAAAGACTTCCTCTGTTCTCCATATTCCTCCCCTCCTGTTACCCCTCTCTTCCTTTCTCTGCCTCATTTGATTTAATGGGCTTCTCCAGCGCTCTGAAGATGTTCCTCCTGCCCACTCAGCTCACATCTCGTTACATTTCCAAGAAAGCAAGGTCGTTATATGTATTCGCACAGATCAGCTGTCACAGGACTGTGAAGGTGTCCCAGTGTGTTTAAGTGAGGTAATGATGAGTATTCCTAAGTCAATCTTGTCTCAAGATTTCTAAGGCACATTTTAATAAAAGCTACTTAAATACCCTAATTGAACTAAATCCTGGCTTAATCTAATCCCTGTCTGTGAAACCAGGCCTATATGTGTTTTACGTTAGAATACTGAATCAATTTATTTTTGTAGAACGTGACTGTCACACTTTATGCCCCAAATAATACCATGACAGGCAGTTTTCAAAGCAGATCTTGATTTTTGCGTTTTATTATAAAAGGAAAAGAAAGGCTTATTCATTAAAGCATAATATTTTTCTCCTACGTATATTACACTACTACATACAATGCAAATAATCTTCATATTTCATATACATATAGATCTGATCTCTGAATGCATTCGTGTGTACAGTGAGCCGAACTGGCCCTGACAGAGTCTATATTCATAGAATACATTCCATGGGGAGGGGGCTAGCGGAGGGGTGCAGGGGTGCGGGACGGCGTGCAGCGGGAAAACAAAGTCTCAATGTCCATTTCTATGGAATGGATGCGTATCTTCCCATAGAAACGGCAGGGAAGAGAGTGCTATGGCCCTTCGGTGAAATAAAAAAATACTGTCAGTAAATATCCCTGTTTTAGCGGGGATCACTCAAGCCTCCACTGTCATCTCTATTAAAGAAGTTTTTATTAAAAAAAAAAATGCCTTCCTTCCACTTTCTCTTTTGTCTTCTTTCCTTGAAGGGTATAGTTCACCCAAAAATTAAAATGAACCTGTAATTTACTCACTCTCAAGCCATCCTAAGTACTGTGATTGCCTTTATGTGAACATATAAATTTATTCTTTCAGCCAAACACCATTTGTGTTATATATATATGTGTGTGTGTGTGTGTATGAAGAGTTCAGACGCAAAAGCCTCTAAGTGCCATTTGAAAATTTCTTCTAGAATGATCATTTTTATCAAGCTTGTATATTTAATTTCAGTAATTTCACTTAAATGACAATTCATAGGTAATCTTCATCCCCATTTAAGTGAAATTAATGAACTTAAATATACAAGCTTGATAAAAATGATCATTCTAGAAGAAAATTTCAAATGGCACTTAGAGGCTTTTGCATCTGAACTCTTCATATATATATATATATATATATATATATATATATGAGTTCAGTGATTCAGGTAGTTTTAGTCTTACTCGGGTAGATTCAGTTTTAATATATTTTATATACATCTTTATTTATTGTTATTCTTATTTTTTATGCATGCTAGTTTAATTCCTATGCATCTGTTGAAGTTATTTTGATTATTTTAATTACTTCTATAAAGGACTTTGAATTACAATTCAGTACGAAATGTGCTTTATAAATAAACTAATAATATATCTCCGATTGTGTTTGTCTGAAAGAAGAAAGTTATTTCTTCAAGCTATCCTATCCTCATAGGATAGCTTGAGGGTGAGTAAATCATGGGCTAATTTTCATTTTGGGCTGAACTAACCCTTTATACAATCAAACCGTTCCCTCTTTTTTCTCTAAGGCTGTCACATGTTGGATGGATGCTGATGTCTGGCTACTCGTTCACAGGTCAAAGGTCAAAGGTCATGCCATGGGGATGGACACGGCCCCGTTGGCTCTGCTCCGGCTGCGCGTGTGGACGCTGGATTCGGTGAGCTCCTCGCCGTGCTCCTCCGTCTTCTTGTCGGCCAGGGTGGTGAGGAAGCGCAGGGTGACGGTGTCCCACTCCTCGGGGAGCAGCAGCAGGAGGAAGCCCAGGCAGATGATGCAGGTGGCAGCCAGACGCACCACGCTGAAGATCACCTCATGCTTCAGCACGTCGATGGCTGAACACAGAGGTAGAAAACAGACAGTTTCTCTTAAAAAAATTGACTTCTTCAATTCTTGTCAGTTTCATATGGTTTTGAGCATTTCAATTTAATCTTAAAGGGATAGTTCACTTTGAAATTAATTTTTGAGATGTAGGTGAGATCCAAGATGTAGGTGTCTTTGTTTCCGCAGTAGTTTCAATTTTGATATTTTTAGGTCAAACCGTTCTTGTCTGTCAGTCATATGATGCAGGTCTATGGTCACCACCTCAAAGAGCATGCACAGAGAAGTCCAAATTAAACATGATTTAATGACAATTAAAATGTGAATTTGTGTCCACACACTGTCTAAACAGTGTGTGAGACTTAATGACTCTAGCAAAGTCCTCTCTGCCATGCAACCAATTAACTCCTGTGAAATAAAAATCATTACCGTTAATAAAGAAATGATCAGCACTAGTTGCTGTTATTTTAGGGCGAGTTCTCTTTAGATGAATAGTAATTGCCATCGAGTGCCAGTTTGCTGACTTCAAAATAAATGCGAACTTTAACTATTTGTGCTAATGAAGGCAAAAATCGAATCAAATTTATAGCCTCGGCTATGAAAATGTGAAATTGTTTATAACCATAAAATGTATCTACACATTCACATTCAAAATTTAGCACACAGTCAAACTTGAAGCATTAATAACAAATGAATCATACTATTTGTTGCAAGCGAATCATTCTGAACAAAAGATCCAACACACTGACCTCGAAAGACAAGCACCATCTTAAAGCATTTACTGTCGCCTTGGCAACCTCTTTGTCACGGTGCAGTCGTTTGCTTTGAGTCAAGGCACTCAGTATTAATAAAGTTTCATATTTCGTTTTAGGGGAGGGTTTGTGGTCATAAATACAGTAATGTGCCAAAGTCTTCGGCAGAAAAAGGGTTTTAAGACAGTTATTTAAACATTTAGCTGTAGTGTCAGTAGGAAATATCAGTTTACATTTCATCATATAAAGTGATCGAGTCTCTTCAGAAAATGTTGAAAACTTCTCAACTCATATGGATTCGTTTTCCGATCTCTTTATGAACTTTTTGAAGCGTCAAAGTGGTAGTTGCGTAGCTGTCAATGGATCTTTATTCGTGTTGTGAAGCTGAACGAAAGTCTTATTCAGTCCCTCCAGAAAAACGCGATTATGCGATCGCTGAATTCAATGCAAAATCAGCCAAAGTCCGCATATTTATGCGGGGGCTGCATTTTTTTCAAATACGCCGCACTTTCGCCGCATAAATTGCCGATTTCCGTGCAAAATATGCGGGGTTTGCATAATTTCAGAATCCTCGCATTTTCGTTGCAAAAAAAGTCACATGTATCTTAGCAGAAAGTTGAAAAATGTTGCGTTTGCTTCACACAAGAGCAGCCATTTCCCCCTGTTTCCATGGGAACGTTATGAAGTGACGCAATTACGCGACGCCAGACAGACTCACGGAGGCAATTGACATCTCACAAATCTAACTCGTATAACTGTCTGTCACACGTTCTACCGTCACATCATTACTTAATAAACAACATAATATAAAAGAAGTAGCATCAAACAGAAATTACCCGCACACATGGGGCGTTCGAGGCGCATATAACACTGCAGAGAGCTCTTAAAGGGGCCACACCTTATTTACACTCGTTACAGTCTGAAATAAAACAAGATGAGAAATTAAATATTCCCAGCACTTTCTATGATGTAGTATGCTTGCTTATCAAAGGAAGTAATAAGAAATGACTCTTACATTAGCCTAGTGAGAGCAGGATGTTGGGGGAATCACTTTTTTTCTCTTTTCATCAAACCGCAATTTTTGCAAATTCCTGCAATTTCATCGCATAAAATTGCATAAATTTACGGTATGATGCTAGCAACCACAGCTGCCAGTAGTT